AGATTGTACAGCAATGTTTTACTGCTCGGCTACAGAGCAGTAAAAGAAAATAGAGCCTTGCTAGATTATAGCAATATGTATAATTGACTAAGCACACATAGCCCAGAAATGCTGAAGATAAACAAAAATGTTGCTGAAAATGCTTAAGAGCTACTTACATTATTACCTGGATTTTTAAATCTTGTGAACATTTGGTAGATATTTTAAGTTATTGAAAGCCCAGAAATGTTGCCAATATTTCATAGAAAAGGATTTTTGGGTTATATATCAAATATTTGAAGATTGGCCGCTTTTTATTGCAGGTGCTAAATGCTATGAGAAAACCAAACAGTGATTCAAAGCAATACTGAAGACATAAGATCATGCTGATAGCAACATAAAAAGCAAAACTTCTGCCATCAATTTTATAGTCAACAGCATAAAATGCTTATGGCTAACCAGAAGCTACCAACAAAAGCAGCTTTGTTAAAGAGCACACTGAGAGCCATCATTACATTTTATGAGCAGGTAATCAAGGTATAATTTTCTGCACTGATACTTGATGCAGAATCAACAAAAGAGATTACTCTAAATACTAACAGCTGCAAAATGCATTAGGGAAAGTGAAGAAAAGTAAAAACAATATTAACCAGGGGTGTTCAAAATTGATGATGGCATCTAGAATTTACTTGCAGATATTTAGGATAAAACTTTGCTTACTGAAAAGTGGTATAGAGTATATAAAAAAGTAAACTTAAAAAAGGATAAAAACCTAAAACTTTAATGAAGTTAAAGAAAAAGGACTTAAATATGTAGTATCTATTAAAATATTCAAGATTGTAAATTATTAAAACATTTAGTTATTGTTTATGTAATTTTCAGACATCAGCAGTTGCTCTTGGTTTATTCAAATTTGTCTGCCAGTTGTTTTGATCAAAAGATTTGTGGCAGTAAGTTTCTGAATTTCTCCAAAGCTAATCTCATGACCTGGCTGTTTTCACCTGCTTTTGTATGGTGCACAAAAAGGATAGCATTGCCTGTAATTCTTTACTTTCTCTTTTCATGGAAATAGCTATACCTCAATTCAAGAGAGAAAAAAAAAAAATGAGTAGAGGGATAGATATTAACAAGGCATAATCAAAGCATAGTATATTATACCATGCTTCCCATATACTCTTTTGAATGTAAAGTCTGTTCTAGGTTTCAAGTAAAACAATCAAGATTTCATTGCCACATGACTATTATTAATTCACTATACTCTTCCAAACAGTATTATTGATAGCAAATTCAGTAAATACACAATTAGAATACACTTTTGAATAGTGAAACATAAACAAACTTCCACAGCTTATTAGTTATGCCTTAAACTATATATATATATATATATATATATATATATAAGAAGAAGAAAGAAAAAAAGAAACCTAAATGGTACAGATAAAACCTGCTCCTCAGCTAAGAAAAGTAACCATCATAAGGGCATATTTGCTAATATAAAAAAAATGGAAATGTTATTCTACAAAATGATTATATGGAGACAGGGTTTATTCTGTTTTAATCACATACACAAAAGAGTGTATTTGAGAAAGAAAAATAGCAAACATTTTTTTCATTATTGAGAAATTCAAACAATGTATAATATGTCAAAACACAATATACTTGATGCCCTCAGGTAAACATAATAGAAGGCAAGTACTATCTAACAAAACTTTTACTGCTCTACATTAAATAATAAAAATAACCTACATATAAGAATATTATTGTCAATAAGGCACAAAAATAATCTATGCACTCATTAAAAAAAAAAACAAAAAAAACAAAAAAAAAAAAAAAAAAAAAAAACTTGTTGAACACCCCTGGTAAATTCTCAATATACCTTTGCAGCAACAAAAACCATGTTGCAAACCAAGTTTGATAATTTCCAGCTGGGAGGCTCCAGGCTTAGGCCAGCTAGAAGAAAGTAATTGCCCGGTTTTTGCTTCAAAATCAGAAGGAAAGAAAAAGAAAGAACAAATAATTTATTCTAATTGCATTATAATCCAAAAATTTAGTGTCTACAGAGTTGCCACTCTATTTAAATTTTTTTTTTTTTTTTTTTTTAAATAGGCCAATTACCACAGTGAAAACTGGAAAACTACTATAGTAAAGAATTGCTATATGAAAAAAAGAGAAAGTTCTAAAAGACTGATCAGTTTTTACAAGGTTATGAATACTTGACAACTATCTTCTATTAACTATTTTTGACATATCCAAAATCTATTAGATTTTTATACTACAGAACTATATCTGGTTGCTAATATATTATTAGTTACTATCCTAAAGAGACATAGATATAATCAAGAGAAAGCACCTAAAAATATTATTCAAGAATTATAAATGGATCAAAACTTCAGTCATCAAATTTACATTTACAACCAAAGAGTTAAAAGTCAAAAGAAAGTTATTTCACATACCTATTCACAGACATGGCAACTTTTATCAGATAATTTGGATACACTTTTGACATTTTCTTAAAAGCATGGTCGGGCAAAACTGATTTCTTTAATTAGCAAAAAAACCAAATGCCATAAAAAGATATTTCCTTACAAACTGAAAAAATATTCAAGTAGAGGACCATGTGATAGAAAGTTTATCAAAACCTAACATGTATGATGTGTGCATCTTTCAATGATAATTTTAATTATAATGACAATTTTATAAAAATATGACTCCTAAAAATACTAGAATGCTATTAAACAAGATAATTTTTGTAAACTTTTTTGCTTCAGGGAGAGAAAAAAAATGTAATTTTTCTATTAGGAAATCTAAGATTATACTGAAATTGATTATAATTAATATTGCAATATCATCTGATATGAAAGTGATCATAAATATCATTGTTACTCTCTCATAATAGTGGAAACTCTGTAGGAATTAAACAAAAAACTATTTTAGTTTTTAAAAGAAAAAAAAAAAAAAAAAAAAGATTTTTCAGATGCCCATTAGTAAAATTAAAAATGTATCAGATGCAAGTTAATAGTTTGCTGCATTCTAATTTAATGTCAAGTCAGTTCAACCAATGGTATTTGGAAAAGAGCACATTCATTTTGTTAATTAGCCAAATAAAAGTTCCTGTGAAGGAAAGTTTTAAATAAAGGAGAAGTAATCAGCAAATTTTATAACAAAAAATGAAGAAATAACACATTATTATTAATAATAATAATAAAAGCCCATACATCTTTCTGCATGGAATACTTCCTAATTTCAGAAATAATTTTTTTCTGGTGTTGAAAACAAAGCCTTCATATAAAAAAATATTAATTCAAATTTCCAACTCTTCTTTTGAAAGGATTTATGAATTAAGAATCAAGCTTGAGGTAGATATCAGATCACAAAAAAAAAAAAAAAAAAAAAAAAAAAAATCTATTAAAGCAGTAAATATCAATGATGGTCTCATTTAATATTAATCTGGAGATGATGTTGGAACAACCTGCAGCAATAAGAGAAGCAATCTTCAGCAAAAGATAAATAAAAATTTAAATTACATTTGCCTAGTTGACAAATTCCCACCACCACACAATCTGTGACACCAAAAAAAAAAAAAAAAAAAAAAAAAACTAGATTGACCCATTTCTAAATAGATTAGCAACTATCAAAAATGCTTTTCATTATCACTTTGATTTTTTTTAATGCTAATATTATTCTGAAAGCATAAAGAAAAATGTAATAGTTTAGTTTGAGATGCTTGACTTAATCTTTAAAATAAAAAAAAGTCTAACTATAAAGCTTAATTGGATGTAATCAAATTTTTAATCATTAACTCAAATAAAAATTAGGATTAAATAAAGCAATGTCCAAAGAAGATTGAATTTCAAGATATGAAGTGAGAATTCAAGTCTCATAAGAGGTCATGTCTTTATCTTGATTAATGAAGCTGGCTTTGATGGTGAAGGTGTAGGCACTAGAACTGATAAAAAAGTTTTTATATTCTATCAAATATGAAGGCCAAAAACTGATAAAGAAAATACTTAGCTTAAGAATTCAGATAACTTAAAATGATTTCTCTTCTAAACTATTTTACTCATTCTTCAGATTTTTTAAAATTTATTAAAAACGGAGGAAAAAAAAAATTGTCACATGAAATTTGCAAAACAAATCATAGTTTAGAAAAAGCTGCTTAGAATCGATTGATATTTTATATGTTCAAAATTACCAACTTCTTATTGTATTGTGTGAAAAATCTAAAAATTCACCTCAAGTAGAAGAAAGGTTGCAGAGACATTTTGTTGTAGGAAAAAAGGTAAAAAAAGATTGTAAAAAAGATTCTATCAAAGGATCAAACAAGCTTATGTGGAATCAAAAGTTAGGTGATGAGGAATGCAGAACAGTTTCTTCAGAGAGAGAGAAAGAAAGAGAAAGAAATAGCAAAGAATACATTTTATATTAATTCAACAAAACAACTGCAACAGAAATAAAAAAGATTGAAGCAAATGAGTGATCTAATCATCAGAGCCTGTATACTATCTCACTGATCACTTGTTGCCTTACATGACAATTCTGATAAACAAAATGGATAATTCAAACTCTTAAAAGCAAATAAAGAAGAAAAATCAAATTTTGAATTAATGTATCTATTTTGCTTAATGATATTAACATAGTTTGTACTACAGTTTATTGCATTTTTATTCAGTAATAAGAGTTTTGAAAATAAAATTGGGAATATGAATCACTCAGATTAAAATCCAAAGATTTATAAGTTAAAAGTTACAAACTGAAACATATTTATATCCTAAGCAAGCAATCAAGAAAGTGTGATGGTTGATGTGCTAACTGATAATAAATTATTTGGTACTTCACAAAATTTATCAGTGTGTCAGACTCGGCTTACTTAAAGTAAATCAAATAACATTTAATGTAGAAACATACCAACAGGTATATTCACTTTCATGAAAAACAAGAAGTGAGGAGGGAAGCTTGATATAATTTTATCAAAGTTTAAGTTTCTTTTTAAATTTAAAAGAAAAGGACATGTTTGAACTTACAGTTACTGCTGGAACTTGTAGGACTGCTGAAGCCTCTCCCAGCAAGATCCTCCTGTGAACTTGTTGAATGGATACTGCCAACTTCATCATCACAAGCCTCTGGAGGTTTGCTGGAACGCACTATCATACTTTTAGGACGCGGTTTATGAGGCCTGGATGGTCGTTCATACCGGTCAGAAGGACCATTTTTTTCTTCATCCTCTTCTTTCCTTTTTCTTTCTTTATATTGTTGAAGAATAAATTCTCGTCTAGCTTTCTCGTTTGCCTTCCTACGCTCTATTTCTTCTTTCTTTAACCTACAAAAAATAGGTTAAATTTTGCAAAAATAATATCTATTCAATGTCACTTTTCAATTATAAAAATTCAATTCAAGTATTCTGGGTTTGCTCAATAGTTTTAAAATAATTGTTGATTTAGAAATTTATGTTTTAAAGAATATTCAATTGATTTGTTTTCTATGGTTTATCAACCCTTTGCAGGTTATTTGAAGCCAGAAGATATTTTTAGATTGTAAGGATTTTTTTTGAGATAATAATGGTTTAGTGATACAAGTTTTATTAATTAACGTATAGATGGGCGTGGGGGAAAGAGGTGGATTCATACCTTTCCCCAAGAGCATTTACACATTAGTGAATATAACAAACCCAACAGGAATTGGAACTTGGCTCTCAGATTAACAATTCCATGCCATTACACCACCCATATATCCAAGCTTACAGCACTTGTTATTACCAAGTGGTCATCCATTGAGGTACTGACCAGGCTCAACATTGCTTAACTTTGGTGGTCGTATGGGAACCAATGTCTCAACATAATCTGGCTGTAAGCCAGAATATTTGATAAACTTAATTATAAAAGAAAATTTTAAATTAAAAGACAACTCACTGTTCTTGTTCTCTCTTTTTAGAAAGTGCCTCCTCCTTTTCTTGCCTCCTCCGTTCTTGTTCTTCTCTTCTTTTCTGTTGTAACTTCAACATCCGGTTTTTCCGAACAGTTATTTGATCATCTGGTATCTATTCAAATAGTTTTTATATAAATAATCAGATACAAGCTGTACAGTAAACAACAATACTTTAGAAAATAACCAAAAAGATTACTTTAAATATGAATGTCAGATACAAAAATATATAAAAGCTCAACAATAAGAGAAGAAAAAGAAAAGCTAGCAATTTTTCTATATCAAACAAAATTTGTTGATTTTAATCAACAAATTTACTACATAAAATATACACATGATTATTTTGCCATAAAATAAAATAGCTAAGATATAAATAATAGTTAATTGGTATTTGGTTTGCTGGAAATGAAATTATGATTGTCAATTTATAAGGTTTTCATAATGAAAACACAAAAAGCAAAGATCAACTTGTTTTTATGTGAAAATGATTTAGAAAAAGAAAGAAATTTCAATTGAACCAACCTCCTCTTCGGGTTCTTGAACAACAAATCCAACAGGAGGAGCAGCAGGAACATCATCACTGGGAATATAAAGAGCAGGATCAAACTTAACAGGTGAAAGTTGTTTTCGAGGAGTCAGTGCATGTTCCTCTTTTGTGACAGATGGAGTTGGTTTCTTTTCTTCTTCTTTCTTTTCCTCTTTCTTTTCTCGCTTGGGCATCAGTTTGGGCTTGGGGCGGCGGGGTGGCTCATTTCCAAACGATACAAAGAAACCTTCATTTCCAGTGGCTGTAGTTTGTTCATCAGCAATTTCGGTACTGTCGTCGGATTCAGGAACAGCCTCTTCAATTACATGAGGTTTTGTTGCAGAAATAAGTTTACTAGGTTGATGTTGTGGACTAGTATGTGGCGGAGGCTGACGAGGTGGACTGCCATGTGGCGGGGGCTGACGAGGTGGGCTGCCGTGCGGTGTGGGCTGACGAGGCGGGCTGCCATGGAGAAGAGGCTGACGAGGCGGACTGCCATGCAGCAGAGGCTGACGAGGCGGGCTGCCATGTGGTGGAGGCTGACGAGGCGGGCTACTGTGTGGTGGAGGCTGACGAGGCGGGCTACTACTTGGAGATTCCATATGAGTTGGTCGTATGCCTCTATTTCTAGGACTACCTATTGGAGATTGCCATTCTGTTTCACCAGTGATATTGTTATTAGTACTACTATATGGCACATAACCTGATGAAGAGACAGCATGGGGGTGAGGAGCATATCCAGAAGGTATTGGTTCTTCTTGAGTCCTGGCATGTGTACCATGAAGCGAAAGAATACCCCCTGCTGTTGAAGTTATCACAGCATTAGCCATACTTGGATGTATACCTGCAATGTCGGGTTTGGGATGACCCGGAAGACCACTGAAAGGAGTTGCCGTTGGAATTGGCTGTCCTATTGATGTGGTAAATGTATTAGGTAAATGTTGATGTGGACCAACAGAATGTGGGGTGTGGGTAGGGTAAGGAGATATAACTGGAGATATATAAGGCTGCGCTGGCGGTGTAGGTGAATGCAACACAAACTGTTGACCTGGAAAACAAGAAACAAAGTCATGTCCTAAATGATTATCAGAGTATAAAAAAAAAAAAAAATGATCAAGAAATCCATTACCATCTAAGGTATTTCTAAAAGCCCCAAATTTTAATAACTTTCACTATAATTGTCAGCTGCTTAAAAAAGAAAAAAGTGTAATTTTACATTATTTGAAAAGTTTATAACTGTAGTAGAAATAAAATACAATTTAAAAGCAGAAATTTTAAAGAATCAGATCCATTAGAAAAAAAGTATAAGATAGTGAAATTCTGTTAAGTGACATAAATAAATAAGTATGATTAGTTTGTGACAATTCAGAAAGTATTTTTGCTCTCTCTATTATATATATATATATATATATATATATATGTATGTCACAAGCTAATCATACTTATTTATGTCACTTAACAGAATTTCACTATATATATATATATATATAAATCTCCTTTTCTCCACACACAAACCCCTTTGAATGAAAACGATGTCAGTTTTTTTTTTATTTGTTTTTTTAAAACTATTTCACGTCTATATAGATTCTTTTACTAGAGTTAAATCTCTTTGAATATAAATGAATTCAAGACATTTTTTTAAAAGTTATTTTCCAAACAAATGAAACAATTTCTTGGTTAGATAATACTTAAGCTTAGGTAACAATACAAGAAAAAAAACTTTGAGTAATCATTATTCATGTAAAAAATCCCAAATATCAAAAACATCACTAAATGATATTATTTCTTTATCTTCCACATTTAATGGTTTTAAATGACAGTGAAATTAAAAAAGATGCATAAACAAATCTTAAATAAAATTAGACTTCTTTTCTCTTTTGGATGAAATATCTTGTGTCATAGCACATCTTTAAAGTTCAAAGAGACCTTTTTTTTTCTTTTTTTTTTTTTGCACACACAAGAATTTTTCAAAATTATTTAAATTAATTTTTCACAATTCAAATAAAATTAACCTCATAAATCAGTTGATATGGAATGTAGACAAGTGGTAAACTATTATCTTCAGATTTTCTAATTGAAAAACTGATTTGTTTAACACAACTTACCACCAGACAATACAAAATAGACATAAATAAAATCATACATACATGTAAAGAATAACAAGCATTCACAAAAAACAAAGTATAACTCATAAGATTCAACTACTATTTTTTTAAATTATACATCTAAAGATGGTCAAATCTCTATGTGCCATGGTCCCTTCAGGATGTGGATGGTATGCTAAACTCTAAACTAAAAGGAATTGTGTGTTTATATACAAGGAAAACACTACAACTACATATAAGAAACACTTTTAAGCTACTAGAAAATACAGTCAATGGTTTATGATGTAAAATGGACAGAAAAATAATCATGAAAGTATGTACAGAAAATACAAGTATTAATATATAATATGCTGCTGCATTTTAAAATTTGTATTTTCAATCTTGATGCTACTCGGTAGTAATATTCTTAGAGCTGGAAATAAATATTTCATTAATCAAAATTACACAGATCAGAATAAGTAATGATGTTGCAAAAATACAAATTCAGGTTTCATCAATAAAAATAATTTCATTGTAATTACAAACCACAATAAAATATTTACTGATAAGCTAAATCACAAGTACTAGATTTTTCAACATTTAAAAATACACAAAATTAAAGAAAATTCCCTTTATATTTGCATATGTTCAGATATTTAAGGATTAGGTTTTTCAATTGTATGAAAACTAAGGGAAATAACTGTAAAAGAAACGGACCAATTTGCCTTCCCATGTTTGTTAATATTTCAGTTGATATACTATTCAGTCTTCAAGTGTATGTTGTATCCAGTCACTAAGCAACTGAAAGGTCATGCTAACAAGTTGAAAATTATAAAGAATTAAGAAACAGGCCATGTCTATCATAATTTATACACGTGTTAGTCAATTTTGCAGGTATAAATTTTGTGCAATGACTGTAAAAAAAAAAAAAAAAAGAAAAAAAAAAAAAAGTTAAATTTTTGACAAGAAAATATCTTAATAAAATTGCTTTAACCATTTAGGTTAGCAATATAATCCATTATAAATTAACCCAATTTGTAAAATATTGAAAATAAAAGATCAAATTATCTGAAAATTGGTTCTTCATTTATAAAATAAATTTCAACAAAGTTATAGTTTAGAGTTACTGCCAATAGTTTCTATCATTAAATATAAGAATTAAAATTCAGACAATTCAAATTGCAAAAATTATTAAATCTAGGATAAATGAGTAGATAAAATGTTTGTATTTTTCTTTTCTTTTTTCCCCCTATAATGTATTCAATACTAAGCATTGTATGAAAATCCAAATGAATGAAGGGAATGGTTTCATCAGTTCACTGTCTGCAATCAATGTCTCATTTAAACAGCTATCACATTAGAAGAGTTGCCTTGCATTGGTTCAGATATACTTTTTCTCCACCAAATGCAGATGCCACGTGTAGTTCTTGTTGCCATCAGTAGTATAAGGCTAGTATTATCACTAACAAGCTTTCACACATCACTCTGGAAAAAACAGGTTTGACTTTCTTGCATATTCTTTCCTATTTACAGTGTGCTCCCAAAACTTTCAACTCAGTATTAAAGTTGTCTTTAGTTAGATACTGAAAATTAAAATTGCACTGCAAAATATCTCGGTTCTCTCTGAAGATAACTTTAGTTAGTGAGTTGAAGGTATGCTTGGCACAGAGTTGTCAGAGTAGCTTTACTACTTTCCAAGGAAGGTAAATACAAGGTTGAATGAAGAAATGACTTGAACATCCTGGAGTTTGCTCAAAAGATGAGTAAGCTTAGAGTGCAGCAGCATAAATAAAAGCTTATAAAGTCTGTACTTGGATCAGGTCAATTTACTGAATATCTGTCTTTATCATACATGGTATGATAATAGACATGAAAAAGAATATTCCAGTATTAACAACTTTTTTTTTTTAGAATTCAATATATAAAAAAAAAAACGAAAAAAAAACAAGAATGTACAAAGGGAAGTACAAGGCTTCATACATATCAGAATATCTTTGACAGGCAATACATTTGTATAGAATGTATTATAATATTGTATACTGGAATATCTCTCCATATCAGTTGAAAAGAAAAAAAAAAGAAAAAAAAGAAAAAAGAAAAATACTCTAAAATTGATTTGTTCCAAGATGGTAAGCTAAAGCTGGAGTGTTGGCTTTTCTGCAACAAAGCAATGATTAAATTAAAGTGAAAGCTAAAGCAGCCAAAGTCTTTAAAAAAAAAAATAAATAAAAAAAATAAAAATAAAAAAGGAATTTTGTTGAATAATATAAAGATTTAATTTAAAAGTAATTTAGACAAAACAAAGGATATTCATATCATGGTTAATATTCTAAACTAATACTTATTTCTATACTAAAACTGGGTACAACTGAGGAAATTAAAGTACTTTTACACTGTTGAAAATATTGAGTCTGTATCTTAAGCATATTTAAAAATAAACACATGAAACAGCTGGTGTAGTTAGTTTTCATATATTGAAGCATTATCAATTTAATTTTATCAATACAATATTTCATGTAAAATATTTACATATATAAAGTGAAAGACTTTTCTGAAAGAAGACTTGTTTTTACTAAATTATGTCTACATAAAGTGTAATAATTGGTTATGGGAGTTTAAGTGATCTAAGTAAATTATTATAAAATAAACAAAGTTTTGAAGGACCATGTAAAAGTATCTAAAGCAAAAATATCATCACAAGATATTACAAATTTTATAACACCATCTTTATATAACACAATAAGAATGATGGTGGAAACCTGAAAGCAAGTCTGCAGCATTATCCACAGCAACATGTGGCCTTCTGTGTTGGAAATAAGATACTTCTGAGGTGAGAAAAAAATTAATACTGGAAAAAAAAAAAAATCAGTCTATGAATGTATATCATAAAAGCATGCTATAAGGACAATATATATATATATATATATATATACACATCTATAAATATATATACATGCAGTGCAAAATATTAAAAGTGCATGAACATATTTTTATGACACAAAATAAGGACAAATTATTATACACAATAGCAAAATACCATATGTAATGAAATCATATTTCATATTCAATTTTTATATAAATCCTTTCAAAATGGGCCCCCGGTTAGGGCTGTGGCTGGGATCATCACAAAAGCTGGGACAATGATAAGTAAGGACTGGAGTATTTTACTTATGTCTGTGTACACCACTTTAGAGCAAGTGCCCTTAACTGTAGACAACCATCCAGGAAAAGATTAAAAACAAACTGCTAGTAATCAGTATTAACAAAAAGAAATCAATCGGAAAAAAGCAATCATCTAAATTATCTAATCAAGCAATGAACAACTAACACTAGGATTATGTTTAAATAGAAATTTCAGAAGAGAAATGGGAAGAACTACATAGATCCCTCCTAAAAAAAAATTAGGGTATTTTTTTTAAGTTTTATATTTGTCAAGCTTAACTGGAGGTCAAAGATATGCTTCCTTCTTTTAAATGAAGGAGAGAAATGAACTAATTCATGCAAGTAATTCTAGATATATAAATTCTAATTCTTTTTTATGAACTTGTGAATATAAATATAGAAGCGGTTAAAATTTACGATCATTTTAACTTAGCTCAAATTCACATTTTAAGTATTAAAATTACAATCTTTATTCACACAAAGAAACCCTTGCAATTTTATGAGTTTAATACCAGTATAATGTAATAAGAGAAACCTAAATATAGCTGCTCAGTGACATAACTAAAAGATTTGCCTATTTTATGCCTCTCCCCCCGCTATACAGAATTCATATATAATAAATTGGTTTATATGAAATTTGAACTTAAATATAAAATAAGAGAATAAATGTTAACATAACTGTTCTTGGCCTAACAAGTTTGTAACTGTTGTGAGAGTAAGTAACTTTATACACAATATAAAAGAATAAAAAATTAATTAAAAATTAGTTAAAAATTGATTAAAAATTAAATTCTGAAAAAAAAAAAAAAAAAAAATAGATGTATTGAAGATATACCTCAGATAAATTACTATTAAAAAAAATTATAAAAGCATACACACAAAACTGAAAAGATTAATTTTGTTTTCAAATTGATGTTTTAATGGTTGATTAGCAATAGGCAAGATTCATGTTAGAAGTTTTCACAAAGATATATTTGCATAGTTATATTTTTGGATGATAAGTAGAGTAGATCTCAATTTAACGACTAGTTTGCATAAGTAAAAAAAAAAAAATTAAAAATAAGAAAGCATTTTTCTTTGCTACTAGTCCTTGAAAGAGTGAAAGTAAACTGCCAAAGGCTTTCATGCTATGAAGAGATTTTTGCAAAATAATATCAAGCAAATTCTAACCATATAAACGATAGTATATGTTTGTACTGATTAGATATTTCTTTTATGAATCTAAGTAGAATACTGTGTCCCCCATATAATTATAGCATTTCAATAAAAGAAGCATATACTTCAATACATCTTATACTTTGTGGGCTAAGATTTGGATTTTTAAACATTTCCGGTTGTTTTTTGGTAATTTTTATGTACATAGTATTTTTTGTTGATCCCAAATGGTTCAGTTTATTCCAATTAAAATACATGGGATGTACATTTTTTTAAGCAACATCAATTTGCATAATATGTACTGAATTAAAAAGAAGGATTTTAAAAGCAATGCAGAATTTCAGATATCTATGTTTAAGATAATTTTTCAATAAATGAAAATTTGAAGGAGTAAAGATTTTTAAAATTCAAAGTGGTTTCTAAACAGCTATCATCAAATCATCTTTTTTAGCAAAACATTTACAATATAGGAATGTAGTTAAGTGGTCAGTTGTCAAAATATCTACTTAAAATATTGGAAAAACATTCGACCCAAGTCAAGATCAACATTAGATGTCAGTAAATGGGGTTAAAAGCTAAAACAGTGGTTAGTATATTTTTAAATGTCAATTTAAATTTGAAAATTTTTATCCCGATATAAAGTATTAGGAGACATTTGGAAAGTAATATTACATTTTAAATATACAACAGCAGAACCAATCAAATCTCATACAATCAAAGTTAAATAGTAAACAATGAGACTGAGATTTAACTTAACATCTGTTCTATCAAGCTGTGCTTCATTAATATGTTGAACTCCACAGGAGAGAAAGAATTTAATAAGTGTCACATTCACCATCAAATCTGTACAAGTTTTACAAAGGCAGTAATGTAACACAGACAATGAAGAATATTTGTGCTGTATACCCAGGTGTAGTGATGGCTGTAAAAGCTAGTAGTGGTTTAGAAGCTTAAAAAGTGACTGACTTTAAATAACCTTTCAAAAGCCTCCATTGAAGCAGATCCTCATTAAAGCACCAAAAATTTAGCAAAGGAAGAAAAATACCTCAAATAAATTGGAAAGAAAGAAAACTGATTGCAATGTTTAACTATTTGAAACAATCTACTGACCAGGGATGAAACCTTCCCTTTTCTTCATTGGAATGAGAAATGTGTGTTGTATGTTAGAACAAATGCAAAAAAGCAGTGGTTATTGCTACAATAAACCAATTACACATCATAACCAAGACTTCATCCACAAAAGATTTTTGTCATGCATCTGAAGAAACATGAAAAGTACTTTCCACTGTTAATTACTGGAGAAAAAAAGCATCAAGCAGATATTTTAGTGGTATTAAATTGAATGTGTCAATGAAAACATTACACCAGAAATGTACAGCTTTGAGGCATAGAAATTGTGTGATTGTCCAACATCATAATATAAAGTCTCACTCTGCAAAACAAACCCAAGAAGAAATATAGTCTGGGTAGTTTTATCTCACCCTTCATATTCACCAAGCCTAGCACCTTCATATTCACCAAGCCTAGCACCTTCAGATTCTTATTTATTTTAATCACTAGAAGGTTTTCTTATGCCAGGATATTTGAAAATAAGAAAAACATTAAGTCTTTCAGCTTTTTCATAAAAAATCTAGATATTCATTACCTTTATGTTGGATTGCTGTAATTGTTAATGAAGGCAATTATTGGAATAATTAACAAATTTTAATTACATTTGTCTATTTTTACCTCCTTGAAAATGTGATATTACTTTCCAAACAATTTAATAAATGCAAAACCCAGTTTAACAAATTTGTTAGTTATTATCCCAAAATATATAAAGAATAACTTCCCATTAAAAAAAGAAATGTTGCAACCAAAAAAAAAAAAAAATATTTCCATGAAAAGATATGAAAGCCAGCTTTAAAGAAAACCATTTGTAACATCTTGATAGTTTTATCAAGATAAAAAAATATTGAGAAGGAACATTTTTTTGTGAAAGAATGAAAAAAAATTTTTTAAATAAAATGTCTGAGAAAGAGAAAAGGAACTTAAGAGAAAAAAAATAAATTATTATAGAAATGCATTAAAAGCATGATAGCATAAATGTTTTTTAATACCTTTTGTGAAGTGCACAGAACCAGAAATAAATGCAAAAGTGATTGTGGCATCAACAAAACAATAGCAACTCAATATAGCTACCTCAAAGTTGAGTGAGGCAACAGAAATGAGCCTAAGGTATTAGCCAACAGCAAAAATGGAAGGTTGAATGAATAAATGAGCAAAGACCAGAGGACTAAAGCTGCAATGAAGATATGTGCCAGGCCATCAGCCCTCTGCTGTAATGTATAGCATACAATTTTTCTTTATTTAGAACTAAAATTGAGCCAAAAAGAAAGTTTTAAATGAACAATTCTCAGCTATAAGTTTGTAGAAAACATTACTCAACTAAATATACTTGTCATCATTTATTTAACAACATATAAGCAAAAATTAAATAGCAAAAAATTAATGAGGATTATCAAATGAAGATTAGAAAACAGTTCTAATTTTCCAGTTCTGAAAACTGATAAAACTACTCAAATATTTTATATATAATCTAATACTGAAATCAGGAGTAATGTTTGTAATACAAGTACCAAACTAATTTTATTTTACTTCAACAGTTTAGATACTAGCGTTCACTGCAACAAATGACATCTAGTGACATTTTTACTTAGATAATATTGATCTATTTCTATGCAGGAGATGTGTATAATTTTTAGGTTTTAATTTTATATCAGTCAGTTAAGTGCCATACGAGATACATGCTTGGGTGATCATGTCTCGTTTGATTCATGATTGACTAGGCAGAGATTTTCCCCACAGTAGGTTGCTGTTTCTTTCTGCAGAATTGCTCTTTTTTTTTTCTTATGGCAATTTTAAAGCCAGCAATATTGGCACAATTCTTTCAAGACTCAAACATGTTAATTTTTTTTTTTCTTTTACAAAAATATTTCAATTATTAAGGCTAACATTATCTCTTTAGGGTTCACGGTCACATCACATTGAAACACCAGTTCTCATATGATCACTGAAGTTAAGCAATATCAAGTCAGTATCTTGGTGGGTGACCACTTGAAAATACCAGGTGCTGTAAGCTTGGATATGCAGGTGGTGTAATGGATAATGGCTCAGAATTTGAAATCAGAGTGCTGAGTTCCAATGCCAGTTGGGTTCATTAGATTCATTTACATGCAAATACTTTTGGGAAAGGATATGAATCTATCTCTTCTCCGCCCCCAGCTATAAGTTAATTAATAGGACTTATATCACTAAATCCTTATCTCCAAAAAGTTTGTACAATAACCTGCAAAAGGTTGATAAGCCGTAAAACACAAATCAATCAAATTTTCTAAATTTTCTTTCAAATTTAAACTTATTGAGGCTCAATAAGAAGTTTCTCGATCTTAGATTAATAGATTTTTTTTTGTTGAAATAATATTCTTTTAGTCTAAAAAAAATTCTTCAAAACTCTAAAAATATAGAAGCATAATCAAGCAAAAGGTTAAAAAATTCAATAAATTAAAACTTGATAAATTAAACACAAATTTCTGACCTTTTAGAAAAAGGTTGAAAGACATTGCATAAAAATATAGATATCTGTGCCACATTTCATTACTGGAAGAATATAAACTGATGATCAATTTTTTCCCCACAAGGAATTAAAAAAAAAAAATAAAAAAAAAAAAATAAATAAAAATATTTGTTAAAATAGAGAATTTCAGATTTTATCCAAAACTAACAATAGAATATTCTAACAAATAGAAAAGCATGTGCAAATAATAGAACTCTAAAGTATCATGTATTTCAGATGGGATTTGCAAAAAAACTATACATTGATATAATTTGTACATTTCATGCCAGATGATTGCTCCCTGATACACTTATTCACTAGAAGACATTTCACAATTTACACGTTTCAATGGTACTTCCAAGCAACAAATTAAATATAAAGCAGTACGACCAAATATTCTCACAAGAAAAAAAAAATTAGAAGAGATATTTTACTAAACATATGTTGATGTATTATAATTATTATGCTAGTACAGTTAGTAGAGGTAGTAAGGAAAGATAAGAAAGATTTCTTTATAATTTAGTGATTGCCTCTTTTTTAACTATAGATGGCTTGACACATATTCTAAGGCGGAGATAGGGGAAAAAAAAAAAAAAAAAATAAATATAATCGGGAATGGAAGCAATGTGCACCAAACCAATACAGATGGTTGAAGCAATGGTTAGCTGAGATGCGAGTCATTCTTTCAAAGAGAAAGAGAGAGAGAGAGATGAGTGAAAGCTAGTCTAAAATATTAAGTAGGTTGCTCAATCGTGCACAAACCTGGATAGGTTGGCTGATAAGGGTTTGCCTGCTGATACTGAGGCTGGTAAGATGTAGGAGGTTGAAACGTCGGTGGTAGTGGCGGTGGTGTGGCATAGCCTGGCTGTTGCATCATGCAGCCAGTTGTGAACTGTCCAGCATCCATATGAGAAGGATACTGACCTAAGGCTATATAAGGGGAAGTTTTCTCTGGACCTCCAGCCATATGACCCCCGGGGGCCGAAGAGTAAGGGACTTTATGGTACTGCGAGAGCAGCTCACCATGTTGATTGTGGACAACACCAGCAGCCGAGACACTGGGCACCATGCCGATTTGTTTCGGATGAGTCTTTTCCAATCCTTGGCTCTTTATTTGCTGTTGCTGCAGAGATAACTTCATAATTTCACCCTGGAGATCAGTCAGGCTTCGGTTTAATCTACTCAGAAAAAAAGAAAAAAAAGACAATATATATCAGTAAATATATTTAGAGAACAGGCATGTTCCAGGGGTTAAAAAAAAAAAAAAAAAAAAGTCAAAATTTTGGAACTTCTATACCCAACAATGTTTCTAAAATGTCTCTAGATATTAAATAAAACTAAAAGCTTTATTATAATAAACATACTCAAAATAAATTATCATATACAAAAATGCTAAATAGTTAAAATATTAAAAATTTTCCCTATGGTTCTAAGATCAAACTCAAGATTGAGGGTCAGCCAAAAATTCATTTCCATTTACCTTTAATTACTACACATTTAATAATAGAAGCACACAAATAACAAAATAAACAAAAAAGCTTCAGGATTCTAAATCTAATCTTCAACATGGCGTTACACCTTTCAGTGATACTGAGGACCAACTTTGCACAGACCTTTCAGTAACCAATAGATTGCACTAAACTACAGGCACTATTTACCTGAAGTTTTCACTTTTGCAATAGTGAGTCGTCTTTCAGCTATAATGAAAGCATCAGCTTGTTTGGCTCTTATCCTAATTCACAGCAGCAACTAGCCTGCCATTGTGGGGCCTGTCACAAAGTTCAGTTTCTTCTTTCTTGGATTGTTATTAATTCTAACTCATCACCTTACTGCAGTTACGTCAACTGTAGTCTTTCTATAAAAATTCACTAACATCCTATGAATGTTTGTAGTACTTTGCCTTCCCTACAAAATGCTATGATAGCTTTTTGTGTTTTCCAATGGAGCAGCCATTTTGAAAGAGAATTATGGGTAGGAAGCGAGTAAAACACAAATTTGTCTGCTGAGCTTTTAAACACTTTATGGTTTATAACTAAGAAGCCCTGAGGAATTCCTAATACTTTTAAAATTAAGATAGGGATTACTTTTTGAATGAGCCTCAAACATTTATCTTTTGCCTATTAATTCATTTTAATATGAAAAACCAATATAAAAAAGATGCCCTACACATGCCATCACCTGTATATGAGAGATTCATATTTAAATTAGAAATGTAGTGTCCCTCGATGTCAGGATGAAGCTAATGAAAACTTTTCTCAATGACACTGATAACATTAAATGTTCTTGATAATGAGGAATAATAATTAAATGTACTCAAACAAAAACATTCTGAACTTTAGACATTTTTCTCTATTAAAAAATAAAGTAATTATAACTTTTGTTAAATGCATTTTCACATTAACCCAAATTATAGGTAAGTGAATCCACTGATTTTCATAGAGTTTTCTTTGTAAAAGGTTTTGGACATTAGGTTCAGTATAGATAATGTTGCATCAAGTTTCAATTATCAAAGTTCAGAAAACATACAATATAAAAAAAAAAATCTTCAGCAGGCAACAAGTCAAAACTCACCAACTTCTAACTTTTTGCAAAATGAAGTCTTGGTTTAGTAGTTGCCTGATTACAGGTGAGCATATGTAGGTAAAATTTGCTAAAATGTGTATGACAGAAAATGAATAAAAACAATGAAACTCATTTTCAACATTCAAAGTAATGACTGATTTTAAGAATAAATCATGATATTGTTTAACAAGAAATTGCCAATTTTAACTAAGGTTGACATTTTTTTTTTTTTTTTTTTTTTTTTTTAAAAATGGATAACTACATAAATAATGAGTTGGCCAAAATGTCTGTTCAGTTTTTGTCAATACTAAACTTAAAGCACTCTAATAAGTAGCTAACTTCAGACTGTCCCTTGCACATGTGCATTTGCTAGATACTCGACACTTCAACATAGTTTGATGTGAACTTGCAATAAAACAGGATGTATTTTGTGTGCTTGGGATCCCCCTGAAAATGGAGAACCAAAATGAACAACACTTCATGTTTTTTTTTTTGTTAAAAAAGGTCAAGAAATTACTGTAAACCTGCAGAAAAATATGCACCGTGTACAGAGAGGATGCTTTTATGGAATGTGTGTGCCAGAAGTGGTTTACAAGATCAGGAAAAATTTTGCCACACCTTTCAAATTCACTAGATTTGTGCCTTCAGAATTTCATCAGTTTTGGTTTCTTCAAAATTTATTGAATGGACAGACCCTTCAACTCTAATGGGGATGTAAAAATCCACCTGAAAGGGCTTTTTGCTAGTAAAGATAGGCTTCAGCAGAGAATAATAGATCAGCCAACAAGATGTCAGAAGATACTGGAATGAAACAGCAATTATATTGTTGATTGAATAAAATGGCTTTGTGTTTAAAACTTGTCTTAATTTTGAATAAAACAAAAAAAAAAACAAATTGACTTTTGGGCCAACCCATATATATATATATATATATATATATAAAATGCAGGTTTCATCATCTTTTTGTCTCACTCAGTTTAAACCATAACTTATAAAATTACATATATGTATTGAATTTTTGTAAAATTCTAAACATTAAATTTCAATTCAAATCTAAAATTCTAAAACATTAAATTTCAATTCAAATCCGTAAATAGAAGTGTCATACCAACCTATCAAGAGAACTGTTGTAATTTCCATAATTTTCTTCTCTTTCTCCACTACTACTCCTGTCTCGTCGATGGTCTCTCCGTTCAGGACTAACATGGCTTCTAGAATGATCCTCTCGGAATCCAGGTTGTACAGCAACAACAGGCTGAGGTCTGATAACTGCAGCCTCTTGCTGTATGGGTTCCTGACGCATAGGAACTGGTTCTCTGTGCGGTTCTTGCCTAATAGGAACAGGTTCACGTCTTACCGACTCGTGGTATCTAGGTTCTGGTCGCACAGGACCTAATTCTTGATGAACAGGTTCTTGCCTAATACTGACAGGCTCAGGTTTAACAGGTACAGGTTCATGGTGTAATGGTGCTTGTCGTATTGGCTCAACCACTGGTGATTCAGAGCTTCGCGGAATTGAGCATTCATTTGTATCAGCTTCATAAGGTTCATTTTTCTTAACAGCATCAGCCTCATTCAACCATTTCTTGCGGGCATTTTCTATGGTTCGCTGTATTTCCTCTCGAGAGAATGGTTTCTGAGAAGATCTCTGTGTATCAATAATGGATGAAGAATCTTCTTCAGGAACAGATTCTCCAACTCTCCCTCCACCAACCATGCTGCCATTAGCCTGCCGAATATAGCGGCGGATGTTTGGTGGAATGCCGGGAGGAATTTGTCCATTTTTATCAAGTGTGTTTTGGCTGGCAACAACATGCAAGAGGGCTTCCTTGCCAACTTGTTGCCGAATCTTAGTTTGGTGTCGCTCAAGTTCATGTTTCTTCTGCTCTATCTGTTTCCGCCTCTCTTCCAGTTTCATCCGGATATTCATCTGGTCACTGACTGACTGTGACTGGTTTTCAGGAGAACTTTCTTGTGAAACAGATATCACTGTTGAACCAGGCCTCCGCTGTTGTTGCCATGTTGTTTGATGTGGAGCAAAGCCTGTCTTTTTATCACTCTTTTCATCATCTTTTTTATGGAATGAATCTTTGGGTGAAAGCTTATTTGGAGAATCAAGTTCTTGGCCACGTTGCATATAAACTAGTGATGTTAAAGGACCACTCATATCACGCATTTTTTTTATCTGAGCAAAGTTTGTAGTCTTAGTCTTATCAAGAATTTCTTCCTCAATGGGATGAGAAATAATCAAGGGTTTTGTTACTTGATTAAAATCTCCAGATTCCACTTGATCTGATAAAATAAATGAATCTTTGGATTCTTTTGTTTCTTTAGCTTTGTGGTCACGGTGAATTTTTTGTGATTCATGGTCAGAAAAGTCCCCTGAACTTCGATTGCTTGCAATGCTTCCTTCACGAGAGACACATCGACGCAGCTCTATTTCATCAGAATTGCCACTTTGTACCACAGGTAAGCCTTCTAATCGTGCACTGTTTGATGTTGAAGGGCGATCAGGGAGCGTGAAACTCTGACCAATCACAAATGGTCTTTGGGAATCTTCAGGATTGCTTGCTCCAGAACTGTGTCGACTCCTGGGAAATGTTGAAGACTGTTCAGAAGTGAGGGAATTTCGTTTGAACAACTGTTGTAGACTTGACTCTTCTCTGCTAACATCATGATCTCCTAATGGGTTTTGAACAAATCCCTCGTCGTGTGATTGCCTGACATTGATGCTACTTCGCCGAGGTTTGCTGCCTTCCATCTGATCTCCACGTTCAACCGATTTACTGTGATTAGAGCTTTTCTCTTTGGCTGGTTTCAAACGAGCAGGCATCAGAGGTTCAGGAGTAGAACTTTGAGGTACAGCCCAATGATCTACTTCTGAACCACGATGATTATAATTCGCTACACTAGTGTCACCATCACCACTGTGACGCAGCAGATCAGAAGACTCTTGCCAAGCAGGACGTACTTTAACTTTTTGAGATTCACCAGAAACTGAGTATTGAAGGTTTTCTGTACCTAAAATGACAAACAATAAATACAAGAAACAAATAGAAAACTAATTGTAAAGAATTAAAAATATACATCTCAATTTTGCACAGAGTAAATACAAATAACTACAAATGCACATAAAAAGAAAGAATGAATCAATTTGATTTCATAAAACATTTCAAGAAATTAGTTCATAGGCTGAAATTTACATAAAATGTTTCTATTTAATAAGAAATCTCTATTTTAAAAAATATCAATGTCAGGTCTGGTGCAAGGGCCTATGATACAGCCCCCCCCCTCTACTACATCTCGATTTTCACAAAGTAGTATTCATATAAAATACAACTTTTATTGTAACCTAATTATGTACAATAATGGATCATATGCAATATAGGTGAACAATTTAACTAGAAAAGTTGAATGCAAATTAGAGATATAGTATAATAGATTATGCCATCTTAAATAAATCAATGTTTTGTGGCAATTTTTAACATCAACTTTTTTTTTAAAAATTGAATAATTTTAGCACATTTAACATGGATTTAAAAAAAAAAAAAAAAAAAAAAAAAAAAAAAAAAAAAAAAAAAAAAAAAAAAAGATTTTTATTTATTTATTTTTTTTACTTAGCACAAGCAAAACAAATTCGCAGATTTGGACAAAAAGATTCCAGAATGATGTCAAAATTCACAAAAATTTTGCATCATTTATAAGTCAGTTGTGCATAGTTTAATTTGTAACATATATAAATGTAGGTAATAAAATGTAAATGTTGATAAGATAGCGAGGGTCACAAAGCACTGCCTAGAGCCTCCAATCTGGTCATGGAGGAGGGTAGTATGCACCGGCCCTGCCAATTATGACAATCTTCAGTAAAGCAATTTACAAACTAATAACATTTCTATTTGGGTCATATAAGACTGGCATTTTATATACTACTTAAGTAATTTAGTATAAAAATAATTAAAATAAAATATTAAAAAAATTATAGATTGTTTATAAGAATTTTTCATCTGTTTTTCCAAATGACATTTCAATAAAATTACATTTAAAAGTAGCTAACACTTCTTAATGGCTTCTTACTTTCCAGTCAACTTTATCTTCTAAAATTTAAATGTAATATTATAGCTTGTCTTCTTAATTTCTGTTCTTTTATTGTTTCCACTCCTTAATGTTTTCTTTCTTCATATTATCTCACACTCAATAACCCCTTGCGTCTTAGTAGCTTTATTGCCTTGATGGGGTGAAATGATTAACCCCCCCCCCAAAAAAAAACAACTATCTTAATTGCTTTAGTTTTGAACATGTTCAGGATTCAACTATTTCATAAGTAGGTGAAAAAGAATTTCTTGCCTTCCTTCCTTGCAAGCCTGATTATTTCAGTAGATTTTTTAAAAATATCTTTCCATAGGAAATTCATGAAAACAGGAAAGCCATTGAATATGCAAAACAAGGTAGCATCCTGATAATACTAAATCAGCATATATTGATTGTAATAGGGTTTATACAGGTCAGTGCCAATAAACTGCAGTAGTTGGGGTCCAAAACTTATCTGTGGTTTAGATCAAAAGTGAGCCGTGATGTCAGGATTGCCAGCTTAGACCACTAAAACAAAGCCTGTCAAGTCCATGGAGTTATCCACAAAAATGGGTAACACAGTGGCTAAGCATGCAAAATGTGTATTCAATACTATGCTGTGCACTTTCATATGCTTTCAACAATGTTTAGCTTTTGTTGAACACTGTATGAGGTGTGTTTACATTTCATGATGGGTTAATATCTTTGTAAAAAATGTTGTGATCGTTATGATATCTATAGAGACACTGTACAAAACTTTAATTTTTGCCTGTATTTATACAAAAATTTAATGTAAGATGATTTATGGACTTTTTGAAACTTTTTGAAAGTGTTGAGGTGTTATTTGGCTGCAATGGTGGCCTCCATTAATAATCCTTAAAGCAGGATTTAAAACGGCTCTTCTCTGCAGATTACATATATTATTTAGAAAAGCACATTATCCATATTAAAGCAAATCCCATTGAGTAAATATGTGAAATTTTTAAGTTATGATAAAGGTTGTAAGCTGCATATTTCACAATCAAAATGTCTACAAAGTGCTAATCCAAACCACTACACAATTGTGAATGCGAAATGCCAAAGCCTAAACAATAGTAAATGCCTGGGAAAATACAGATATATTGTAGATATTAAAACTCAATTTAATGAATTTATGAAAATAAAAGATTATACAGAAAAAAAAAAAATCAGACTTTAAAAAGTGTCACAATCAAGTTTGAATTTGTTTCAAATTGGGATCCATTGATGATTATGATTCTAATATGAACATGACAAAAAATTTTGGGGCCCATCACGCATGCATGGCTTAAGCAACATTGTGGCTTAATGGCACTGACCTGTACTTAGTTACTATTCTGGTACTAAGCACATTACTGACAGGACAATCATAACTTATCAGTCAAGTAAAACAGCTTAAAGTTAAGATAGAAAAAAAATACCATCTCTGTCAGCAATATTTTGCTGATAGCGCTTCTGTAACAAAGGCTGTCGAGGTGGTGGGGTGGAGCTGGAAAAAATTAAAATATAAATTACAAGCGATAGAAAAAGGACATTAAATATTATCAATACTTTTCTAAAATTGAATAGTTATAATTAACTTTTTATTCAATGCAACTTTAATTCTAAAAAACAAAACAAAAAACTTTAGAAACTTATATCAAATGAATTTTTATAATAGAAAAAAAAAAAAAAAAAATCATTTTATACTTGTGGAGTTTGGACGTTATTTCTAAATAAATTACAATTAAAATCCTATCTTATGAATTAAGTAAAATAATTATGTTTTGGCGAAGTTTTCCTCTTAAAAATGTTCAGGATTTTTATACACACACACAGAGACATGTATGACATGATGTCAACAACAGGTAATTTCACAAAGACATTACATTAGAGCTAGAAAACTTTCAGTATTGTCTCAAACTACATTTTAAGACACGATGGGTTGATTAAGTATTTTAAATCTTGAATGCCAAAATAAAACAAGTTTAAAATGATGATTATTATAATTATTAATGAATAAATATCTATAAACATAATGCGTGTGCATGTACACGTGAAGCTGCTGAAATGTTCTTGGCCTGACCCATTTCACAAAATCTGATCAAATAGTCAAACAGGTTTTTAAGGTTTTTTTTTTTTAAAATTTCTTGTCTTAGTTCTAAAGTCTATGGTTCAGCTATGTGTATGTATGCATATATTTACACATAACAAGAAAGGATGGGGGACACTTTCTCAGAGTACAGATACTATACCGATTCAAATAGAAGTACCAAGAGAATGATACATCAATCCAAAGTAGAAATGTAATCCATAAATGAATAATCTTTTCATTTCTTTTTAAAGTGTATGATGATAGTAAATAAATAAAATAAAAATTTACTTACACTGGGCTAAAGGGTTCTTGAGAGATAGCAGTATATTCAAAGTTTTGGAAGCTTTTCTTTGTAGCATTACTTATGGGCACCTTAGAAACAGGCTGGCTAGCAGACATTCTGTCAACGGATAAGTCATAAGCTGTAGAAAGAAAAATATTTTTAAATTCAATTATTCCAGTTAAAATTAAGACAAAAAGGAAAAAAAATTGTAATAATAGTTTTTCAAGATTAGAATTTTATTGATATTTCTAATTTTGAAAAAAAAAAAAAAAACGAAAAAGAAAAGAAAAAGAAAAAAAAGAAAAAGAAAAAGAAACAAAAAACAAACAACAAAAAAAAAAACCAATGAAGTTACAATATTTCTTAATTATTTTCATAAAAAATTCCATGAGAAAAGAATATTGGTTTTATGATGCATTAAAACAAATTGGAGGTGAAAACTGATAATTTCAAACCAGTCATTTGATTTTAGAAGCCAGAATGTAAACAACTTCAGAAATAATTGAATGAGTAGTATAGAAGCTATTTTTTTTATAGAAACAAATGAAATTAAAGCTAATGTTAAAAAATATTTTAAATTAGCACATTCATCAGAATCCTATGGAGAGAAAAAAAAAAAGTTTACAAAACATTATAAAGAATTTGGTAAAAAAAAAAAAAAAATAAATAAATAAAGCATGACTTACTTTCATTTTTTACTTCTGGTGGAGCACCCTTGGATTTGGTATACTTGTTATTTTCAAATTTATTGAACAAATCAGCTAAATAAACATATATGTTAGGAAATATAAGATCATCAGAATATAGTAGATCTTCATATGTGAAATGGAAACATTTAGATGAGAACATATGACGGCTGCAAAAGTTTCGAATTAGGCGCAGGTTAAACAAAGAATCAGCAATGCTTATGCTACTCTTCAGCACAATGTCTGCAAAGAAAACAAGAAAATGTCTGAATTCAGGGAAACATGAAAAATACCCCTATTTAAAAAAAAAAACAAATAAAATTAACATTATTCTGTAGTAAGGTTAAGTGAAAATGTAAGCAAAAATATATTCACCCATAAATTATGAGATTAGTTAATATAATTATGGTTATCAAGATAAAAATGAAAGTTATTTTTCTTTTGTTTTAAAAGAAAAAAAAAAGTCCTAACTAATTTGCAAATAAAATTTTCTTAGACAACTTGTTATGAAAACATTTTTCAATACCTGTCAATTAATCAATTTACCTTGGAGTCTTAACTGGTCAGGACAATAAAAACTAATTAGTACAGCTAAAGCACAGCCTTCTCCAATATCCCTTAAGCTACTAAGCAGTGGTATTGATGGGACTGTTCGACCCAGAGGATCCGACTGAAAAGTAAATTAAAAGATTTATTTAGCAGAAAAAATAAAAAATTTATATGCACTCATTCAGTGACTTGTAAACTTATGCAACATATCAAAACCTTTATCAAGTTCTTAATCTTTTCTGTGATTATCATTAATTATTTGTTTTTATACTAAATCACTTTTCTTTCAAATAAATGCATGAAAAAAACTTCAATAAAATTTAACACACACACCATCAGTTTAAGTACAAAAAAGTAATTATTTAACTATTTTTCAAATTAGAAATATTAAACCAAAATCTATTCTAAAATTATTATTCATTTTGTTCATTTCAATTGATCACATTTTTTAATGTCAAGTTCAAACAAGTGTCCAAATAACTAGTATAAAAACAAATAATTAATGATAATCACAGAAAAGACTAAGAACTTGATAAAGGTTTTGATATGTTGCATAAGTGTACAAGTCACTGAATGAGTGCATATAAATTTTTTATTAAATAAAATTTTTAAAAAATACATACATGAAGCATATGATCCAACACCATAAACAAAATGGCTGATAATCCAGTTCTTTTTTAAGTTTTATTATAAGTCTCATACTCATACAACCTAACATTAAGACTAATTCAATAGAATAAAATACTTATTTATTGCATGGTATGACCAAATTTATAGCATTTGCATTTTAAATACAATTTTAAAAAAACAAAAAACATACTAAATAGAATAAATGTAATTTCATATATTTTTGTCTGATGTTGATAATATAAAACTGAGCTAATGTCTAATAAAGAAAAAATATTTAAAGTTTTTAGTAAATGTAAATATTTTTGAGACATTTGCAAGATAATAAATATTCATAAACTTTTTTTTTTTTTTACTAAAAATAAAAAAATCTTTATAAAGCTGAATACTGTCAAAAGTGAATTGGTGGGGGGAAAAGAAAAAAAAGATAATTTAAAATATCTAATGTCTAAAATAAAATTGTGAAAAAAGCTTAAAAAGGAAGCTGCAGTATTTTAAACTTTGAGAATAGGATTTCTTGATATTATTTATTGAAAAGCACTATGAAGTATGAAATACTGTTAGCCACACGTGCCATTAAGTGAAGGAAGAGGGTTTAGTAGATTGATAGGAGAAATACACTAAATGAAATGGTAATAACATGATGACCTGATTACATGTTATTAAAGTAAATTTGTCATTTGGGTCTAGATGCAACCTAATTGCAATCATTAAGAAAACTACTCCACAAGGATCATGCTTGTAAAGGATCATGTGTTGGGTCTGGCTAAAACTTAAAGTGATAAATAGGAGTGTTTTCTTTATATAAATTTAGTTGTTTTGCATTGTGTGAGAATTTCTTTAGACAGTAATCTAAGGTACAGGATAAAACTGGACTGTTATACTGATACTGTTCTGAAGCAGTGAAAAGTATGTAGGCTTACTAAGATACACATCTTACAAGATATCTACTAACCATAGCAGGAAAAGGAAAAGTAAAACATGCCCAACGTCTAAGTAAAACCTGCAAGTAGGGAATCAAATTTTAATGTATTTTCTGCAATAAAGAGTATTTGAAATTAGCATCTTTAACTGAAAATGTTCAGAAAGTTATTGATTAAGTACAAGAGAAACAAGATCATTAAAAATGACAATCTTTGTAACAAATAGATGAAAACAAAATATTTTAAATATTGTTTTTGCATATTTTTATTTCAAAATAAAAACAATTAAAAAGATACTGTTTTTGTAAACAAAAACCAGTTGCTGAGATTTTGTATAACATACTTGAATGTAGTTTTAATGTCTGAATTTCATTATGTGACATCCAACAGTAATAGCTGAACATTCAGCTCAGTGTGACTATTCTCTTATTGTATTAAAATTATTCACTTAAAAGAAATACATCTACACCTATATACATATTTAGTCAATTTTTATATAGGATGCTAAGTTTTCTAAACTGTAAACCTAAAGTACAAAGAGTTCTTTTCTATATCCTCATGGAGTTCTCTGGGTTCAGTGTATGGCATTAAATTTGATTTTTTTAGCCATCATTTCTTCAGGTTTTCTAAACTGATATCTCCACCTGCAATTTTTAAAACAAAATCTTAGTAACAGTGTCACTAAATGCACAATGTGCATTCCTTGCAGCTTCATTAGGGAGTAGCTTAAATTTTTACATAATGAAAATAAAGAGTTAAATGCTTTCCATATTTGCCTAAAAATACAGTAAAATTTAATGAAATGAAATAAGAGTTTTACTTAATAATCAAGAAAAAATATATTTAGAAATAAAATATTAATTAAAAAATGTTATAAAACAGTGAAAATACCAAGTATAAAATATCAACTCCATGTTGAACAAGCTAATGAATATCTAAATAAGGAAACAAATTAAAAAAGTTATACACATGGAGTAAATTATAGTAACCAATTACTAATTTTATTCCTTAGCTTATATTTTATTATGGCTTTGCTAAAAATTCTGATATGGGAATGCACTTTTTTATGTTATTGCTTTCAAGTAATGAGATTGGCTTACAAAGATAAACAGCTAATACTTGATGAAATAAATATGTCCAGAACATTAACCAATATCAATCCATTAACCAGTCATTAATCCCCACACCAAGTGTACAACAGAAAAATAAACAGCCTCTTGATTTTTGTTGTGATCTTAAATAATCTTGTACTACTAGTTAATTCTTACTTAATTAAAGTTTCTTAAAGAGAAAAAGATGTTTATCATAATCTAAAATACTGAAAGTTTTATAATTAGCAAAATTTAAAGTAATCTTTCTCCTAGATGAGCTGCTACTGAAGGTTAGAGAGTTCAGTCTACTCTGCAATTTAACCCATAGTTTGGAAGGAAAATCAGTAGCAAGCTTTGAGTCTATAATCAACAAGATTGTTGAGCACCTAAATAACATTCTTTTGAGCAACAAGCAGTATGGGTTTCAATTAACTCAATCAACTGCTGATGTCCTAACTACTGTTATTCACAGAATCAGTGAGGTACTTAACAGCAAATACACCCGAAGGACCATAGCATTAGATTTTCAAAGGTCTTTGAAAAAGTGTGGCACAAAGAATTGCTACTCAAGCTCTCTCGCTATGGAATCACTGGAAGAGTGTTCTCAGTAATAAAGTCCATCCTAACAGGTAAGTCTCCAATGGTAGGTGTTAACAGCCAGTCCTTTGAGGCCCTAGCAATTAATGAAGGCATCCCCCATGGGGTTAGTTCTTGGACCAACAGGCTTTTTAATTTACATAAATGATCTGCCTAAGAGTATACTCAGATCATTTGGGAATATCCGATGATATGACATATAGGTGCACCTCCAAAACTCATGACAAGATTGGCAGCTGATTGCTCATCCAATTTAACACTAACATCTCAGTGGGGGTGGGAGAGGGAACTGGCTGATTACATTCAATATCTTGAAAACCAAATAAGTTACATTCCAACATTGCTGATGGGACCCAAACTACCACATCATGATGAATGGATGTCCCATCAGGGAGACAGTGCTTTGAGTGACTATTAGGTATTAAACTCACCCCAGACCTCAAGTGGAACTTGTATATATGATCCATTGCTAAAGCAGGAAAAATGATCAGTTTCCTGTACTGCTCCAGTAAGTACCTGACTCCTCATGCTATCCTCTACCTTTATAAGAGCCAGATCAAGCCTAAAATAGCCTTGATTAAATCCCAAATAACATCATGTAGAAACATAAATAACTAAATCTTTTATATGCATCCCTACCCTACAGTTGGTATCATCAATGGGCATGATAAACTGCTAAAGGTAATTATATATAAAATGCATACACATACATATGGAGGGGAAAGGAGAGAGAAAAAAAAAAGAAACAGCCATCTCTTTAATGTTAGACTCAAGGTGCATGATAATGGGAGGCAGAAAAATCAGTTATAGTCGAACATATCTGAAGTAAGGAGGATACACATTCTTTCTAGGGATAAGGTACAGATAACTGACAGTGAGCACTGCTGGAGAGCAAGAAAGTTGAAAGAGATAGCATGTATGCAAATAAGTTCAACACAGTGTATTCCTTCCCCCATCATATAGTATGGAATTACCTGGGTATTTACACAGCAGTACAGCTATATTGGTATACCTGCACTGCTGAAGGATTGAACTGGTTGGTACAATAATAACACCCACTATCTTTTTTTCTATCACTCTCTCTACTCACCTCAGAGAAATAAGAATGATTGCTCTTTTCTTGTGTACTGTACACCTGACAAGTGTTGAAGAATGGCTCAGCCAAAATATGTTGCAAAGAAATTCAATTGTCAGAACAAAATTTGAATTATTCAATAAAACAAATCTATAATTGAAATAATTAGTTTCATTGAATCGCAATTATTTCCCTTGTAACTTGTGATAGAATTTGAGATATATACAACTTTATAGAAGCAAAACCATATACAAAATCATTTGATGCAACAACTGAAAACATGTTCTATTCACTAACTGATGCTATAAAAGAAAAACAAAAAAAAAAACAAACTGAAAAACATTAAGAATATGACATCCTATATTGAAGATATACTGAATAAGAGAAAAGGACTTGCTAAAGCATTTGACAAGTTTTGTTTGAATTTAGACATTTAACCATGCAAGTATAATATTGATTATTAAGCTAACATTCACTGCTCTTGAAAAAAAAAACTAACAATTCAAAGATGAAATAATCAAGTAATACTTAAAATGTGTCTTAAATGCATTGGCAAATTATTGATTATGTAAATGAAGCTTCAGCTCGGAAACAATGGGTCAGCATTAGATAAATAGAGAACATTTAAAAAAAAAATAATAATAGTGCACTGTAGTGTAAGAGGGCATTTGCTACTAACTATGCTTTCTTTTTCACAATTTACATTAAAGGTTACTCGCAGTACAATACCAATGTAATTTTGTTAAAAGAGGTTTTTTTTCCTGTAGAAGAAACATTTCAGCAATGATATTGCCATGAACACTAGATGCTCTGAATGACCATTTTTTATCCCAACCATGAATGAAAATGTTGGAGAGTGGGCTTCATTAAGACCCATATTCATCTTCTACTTAAGTAAATAAAGACTTGTCAGAGAGGTGGGGTATACCAAAATGCCAAAGGGTTGTAGCTTTCTTCTGACTGCTGTGCCAGAAGAATCCTTCTGGTGAAGGGGTTGTTCTAATATTTTTGAGTCAACTTGAAACCAGACAGCCACAACTGATACCTTGTAAAAGGATGATTTTTTCATTTTTATTACACAAATAACTTTCTTATGGTTCAATGTAACATGAGCCATTCATTAACTTTTTCAAGTTAATGAATTGTATAATGAAAGTTATTTAATGCAGATTCCTTTCACCTTTAGAGTGACCAAAAAATAAACCCATACTTCAGTATCTGACAATTCTCACACTCCCAAACTACAAAGTATTATTAAATTATTGTACAGCTATTTTTCTTGCATTTTTATAGTAAAACTATCAAGGAGTATATGCTTATTAAATAGTAGTGTATTTATTTCAACCCTGTTTCTACATTTTCCAAAAACAAATTAACTATACATGCTAAAATTAGATTTGCCTTTGTAAAATCTTCCTCATCCCACAAAAATATACACAGGTAAAAAATGGTATATGCTTTAATTGGTATCTATTTCTGAAGATGCATTTCCTGCATTAAACACTCAAGATTAAACAAAATTTATTAATCACAAATTTATTGCTGAAAAAACATTTAGGAAGTGTATTAGTTCTGAATGCATCATTTACCAAAAATAGTATTCAGTTCATAATTTTTTTTGGTGAACAGTCAGAACAAAAGATACTTAAAATTTTAATAATTAAAAAACAAAGCAAAAAATGCTTTAATATAAAGTAGTGCAAATACTGATTTTTAAAGTTAATCATCAACAATAGTTATTAACAAGAAACAAGATTAAATTATCTAGAACTGAGAAAGCTTTCAGGAGTGTATGTTAAATTCTAAGCATGTAATACAATCTAAATATGAACAAAAGAAAATACATTTAGTGGATTTCAGATCTTTGCCAAAACCTAATCTTCATGAGCTGTTTAACCTTACTTTCTCCCTCCTCCAAATAAGATTGCCAGATGCAGACAAGTGTCTACATTGGAAATCATAATACTTTAAGATATGATGCCAAAACATATGCAGAAAGAGAAAAATTCTAAAGTCTGGCTTAGAAATAGTGAGAAAAGTTATCAAGCAACCATTTTTTTTCTGTAAAAAGCATGAGCATACAAAGTAAATTTCATGCCAATTATGAATATGTTGGTGACAGATGTTATTTTATTTTTTTTTTTAATAAGCTAGGGAAAAATAATGCAGGTCACAAAAATCAACATGATTCTTCCTGTTTTCATCAATAATAATAACAGCAAAGTTCATATAAATTTAGCTATTACACTTAAGAGATTTGTTAGATACAGAGAAAATAAGAAGTAATACTTCAATGATCTGGCAGAGTTTCAACTACATTTGAAACAAGAGTGATTGTCCCTGGGCTTGTTTCTCCAAAGTGTAAATTTCTGAAAATTGTAAATTTCAGATAAAAATAGCAAAAAAGCATTACAGTTTAAAAATATTTTGTGATTTTATATCTACTTGTAACTTATATATGAATAAAAGCTAAGAAGATGTCTATATTTTAACTGGTTACAGCTTCTGTTAAAAAATTGTCAAGAATAAGATACTGATTTTTCAGAATCTTCAATAGACAAAACATTCTGGTGTGCAATATAAACATATAAAACAAACATGTTTCTTGTTTAGCAAACAATACAAGAACACGTTAAATATACAGAACATGACTGAGTTTTCAGAGTTAAAGCCACTGATTAGTAAACATAAGTAAACAGCAATTAAAGTAACAGACAAGCAAAAAATATTACCTTTGGTTCATCATGCTGACTGCGATATTCCTTACGTAGGAAATCTTGTACATAAAGACAGATTTTGTTCACCCAGAATAATAAAGCATTTTCCACGGAATTTGGTAATTCTTTGCAAGTATCAAAGTTGACTAAAGATCTAGGGAAAGAAAAATAAAGTTCATATTATATATAATAAATAAATAAACAAATAAAAACTTCAAAGACAATATAGTCAGATCATAAATGAAAGTATGAGAAAAATTACACATTTGACATTAATGGAAAAAAAAAAAAGAAGAAAAAAAAAGAAAAAAAGAAAGTACACTAGAAGAATGTAAAGAAAATTTGAAGTATTAATATATTCATAATTAAAATGACAAGTGAGAATATGCTTCATACTATTAGAAACCAAACCATTATTCAAAAAAATTAATGACAACAATTTATCAAAATGAGGACATTATAAAAATGAGTTTGCACGAATCAAAATTCTTACCTCTCTTGAACTGAGATTTAACCTTGAAATCATTAGACTGGTCGATGTTTTAGTAAAATAGTAGATATCTAGTTTTAGTAAGCACCCCCACCCCAGTGTGTGTGTGTGTGTTTATCAATAAATTAAACATACCTATCATTATATATAAAATTAAATCTGATGGTATTGGTATATGTTAAGGACCAATAGTTAATGTTCTAACATTCTGAACCAACCAGGTGCATAAAGGAGCAAATTTAGGAAAAATTATTATTCTATTAAAGGAAAGACATTTAAGTAATTTAAAAAGTAATCTTCTTTTGCTTGAATCAACAAGAGTTACAGTATTTTGAAATGCAAATAGTAAAATATTCCACAGATCTCAAGGTCTATGAAATATTTCTTTATTATTTTTATTTTAAAATACATGCACAATACATTTCAGATTAAGTAAATTGTAATGAAAATATTGCATGAAAAAAAAAAAAAAAAAAAAAATAAAATAAAATAAAATAAAAAAATAAAAAATTAAATACTTTAAATTAAATGAAAAACTGGATTTAAGTGTCAAAATATTTAACAAACAATAATGCAACTATAGTAATTCTTTTTACATAACAGCTGAAATATTTTTGGAAACAATATTTTTTTTTTTTTACAAATAGCAAAAATATAGAAATAACATATACATCAAGCAGTGTGTTAGAATGTTTAGGTAGATTTTTTTCACCTCCCATAAACACAGTCATTGTTACAAATATATCAATGTTGACTTAGAGAAGCTGCTTTAAATGGCAAAAAGAATTTCTATTGTTAAAAAAAAAAATAAATATTCCATGATATTAAAACCCACAAAACTGGTTAACAACTTGTAGTGGGCTGACTTTATTATTGATTAGCAAAATAAGACTAAGATCTTTAGGATTTGAACCCTTAATAAAAAACTGTCTATTCAAGAATAAGTGGAATTTGTATTGAAATACTTGGGGGTGGGGAGTAATAGATATTTTATTCATTCAATCCAATAATAGAACTTAAAGTTCTATATTCCACAAAAAGCTATTTTTACTATTTATCAGTGAAATAGAGAAATATATTGGAAATATAATTCACCAATCCTATTTTAAGTAGCATTTTCTTTTTTGATTATGAATGAATGAATGAATGAATGAATGAACAGTAATTCAAATAGTCTAACCATTCTCAAGTAAAACAAAATCAAACAACAATCCATTAATTAACAGCTGAGTAAGCCAGTTAAAACAAAATCCTCAACACAAACAGGGTAATAAAGTACTCACTATGACAGTATTGCTTGAGCAACTGCAGTAATTGTTAGAGCAGTAGCCGAAAATTTCTGCTGAACTCTCAAACTAATTGTAACACTGACACAAAGTCCAAGAGGCAGACTACAACAGCCTCATTGTCAAGCTATTACTGAATTTCTGCATGGCTATTAGAAAAGGTTGTATATTTGAAGGAAATATGAAAACATTTCTCAAATTTATTTTGTTAAGTTTAGGAATGCATGGAAAGTTCAACTGTTCACAAAGAAACTCTTAATGTATGAAAGATCTAAAAACTCATAACTTTTTCCCAAATATCCTTGGTACATTAATTTTGAAAAAAAAACTAAAAATCTAACTATACTTAAGCAAGTATTGAAAAAAAAATACTATCAGTATTTAAAATTGGTAAAAAAACAAAAACAAAAAAAAAACTTTATTTATAATTTTATGAAATATGACAGTGAATTTCAAGTGTTGCAGAATGGTCATGAATCAGTGTCAACTGTTCAATTGTAGATTGCAGTCACCATATCAGGCTATTATTGAATAGTCAAGTTTCTGGAATTGCTTTCCATATATTAACTATAAAACATTAGAACATGATTCAGCAATGATCCAACACACCACAGAAGTTGCAAAAGCACAACAGAAGGAAGTAACAAGGAATGGCATTAAAAAGAATAACATTTTACACCAGATTATCCCTCTGAAAAGAGCAGACTGAACAAATGACAGAAAAGTTATAAAGAAGAAAACTGCTATCAACTATAATGTCACTCAAGATGGTACAAACCAGAAGTCAATTAATAACCCAGTCGTCAGACAGCAATGAAACCGACTTCAAGATTGATATTTCTTTTAAGAAAAAATATCTTTTAGAAGATTATTCTTTTTTAATGAATTGTTCCCGCAATACAAGACCCAAAAGCCTCTCAAGGTAGAGGGTTACTGAATGAGGTTGTTGTATGGACATAAGGAGGAGGAGGCAAGAAGTGGAGATTATGAAGATGTGTAGAAAAAGATAGTTGATCCTAGACATGAAGAGGTTAAGATCATAGTGACTGGGGAAGCATCCTCTCAAGAGTCTGTTCCACAAAGTAGCAGTTCTTAGAAAGATGTTAAAATGGAATTTCCTTCTAATTGGATACAAAGGAATGGGGATGATTTGTGCTAGTGTATGGGTCTTAGATGTGAAACGGTAGAATTTTTGTCAACTTGGTGAACGAGAGTTTGAATTCCTATTGCAACTCTCTAAATCACCTTTGCTCTAATACCATGTACAAAAGTAAAAAATATCTAGGTTCTGTTCTGTCTTATTACCTTTTATCCTACTACTGTACTGATACACTATATCAAGTCAAAAGAAAAGTCTCTGCTGTTGGAACCATCAACAAGAAACAGCCACCTTAACAACAAACAGTAAATCCACTGTTAATGTCTTAACTAGCATCATGCAGAATCAGTCAAGTGCTTTATAATAAACATATCTTGAGCATGATCACCTTAAATATCTCAAAAGCCTTTGAATTGGTGTGGCATTGCGAATTGCTACACAAACTCACCAGCTACGGAATCTCTGCAAGAATCTTCTCAGTTATCAAGTCTTTTCTATCAGGTAGGACTTTGAATGTGGTTGTTGTTATTGGCCAGTCCTCTGAAGCACTAGAGATCAATGCTGCAGTCCCCCAAGGCTCTCTCCTTGGTCATATGCTATTTCTGCTTTATATTAATTTACCAAAGAACATCCTCAGATCTGTAGTAAATATATATGTAGATGATAATGGGTTTACCTCCAAATATATGGATGATTAGTTCATGGCAGCTGATCTCTTCTAACTGAAATTGCAGAGCTCAATGGGGGAAATACTGGCTTGTATCACTGAGTACCTCCGAAACAAATCAATGATGAATAACACACACACACTCTTATAAAATGAAAAACAAAAAGTGTGATATATTAACATTTTCATCTTCAAATTTCTTTCAGAAAAATATAGAAAAAGCAGAAATTTTTTAGCTAAAACATTTTTATGTACAAAAATTAAACTCGGTAAAAAATTAAAATACTAGATGAAAAAAAGAAAAAGGATTTAAGTCAATCTGTCAAGTTAAAATGTTACAATATTAATGATAAAAAAAAGAACAGATTATCATTGTCTTAAATTGCATGAAGTAATTGCATTGTCTAAAAATTGAAGAGTCATTAATATTATTCAGATGTTTTGTTTTTATATAATTAACATTTTGGCCTGATCCATTCTGAGATAAAGTCCAGGTAATTGATAGAGGACAGAATTAGCTAAAGGAGGCAGCATATATTCATCTGTTGTGCAAGTGTGCCAGATAGAACTATCTGTATTTTTTTTGTTTTGTTTAGTAAAGTTGGTGTTAGAGAGCGCCTTGCTACTTGGTGGTGTGATTGGTATACCTGACAGTGAGAATAGACTAGTCCCATGGATACATTACTAAATAATTTCCATCACCATTTGAGAAAAGTTTTTTTTTTCTTCTTTCATAGATTACACCTGATGAGAACCGAAGAATAGATCAACTGAAACTTAACAATAGCAACTATACAAAAAGTAAACAATGTTGGATATATATATATATAAAAAATTTAAAAAAAAAAATTGTTGGTCGAAATATTAATAATACAAAAAATAATGCAGTTTCATTAGATATGACATTTGAAGTGAAAATAGTTGGTATTTATCAGAATTACTTACCTAACTGCCTGTACGACCTTTTCTATACTGACTAATTTGTGGGTATAACATTTCATCAATGCATCCATCAAACTTAAATGTGATTTCTGGAAAGGCAAAAATGAGGAAATTAATACTTGTATAATTATATAAAAAACACAATTTTTGTTTAAGTTTGGAAATAAGTTCACCTGACTATTAACAAGTGTATACATATTTAAAGAGGATCAATACCTGCTTGCAAGAGTAACTATTTCATCGCTAACATGCAAGATATCTAACTTTAAATGCCAAATCCTAAATAACAATATTTTGAAAATCTTTTTTCTAAGTTTTTTTTAAAATTTTGTTCATAAATAAATAATAAAAAAAAAAGCCTTATCCCTTGTTTGCTTGATTATATAAGGCATAGAAACATTTATAAAGAAATCTAAAGCTGTCTAGAGTACTATAAAGGGTATCTATCATGTAATGCTGAATTGTAATGAAATGGCCAAATTTATATGTATCCATATTAACAGTCTGTTATTTTTTTTTTTTACTAAGGGGGAAGTATACTGCCATACAGAGACTCTTATCAAAGTTGGCTCTGACAATTACCTCAATATAGAGATAGCTATTAAATAAGGAGAATCAATTCATAAATTTTATATATTTAATTTTTTTTTTTTTTTTTTTTTAGCATTGTGCCCCAAGCAAGGCGTGAAGCCACTAGGATGCAGGGGGTTGCGGAAGATTTGGAGCGAGAGCAGATAAGAGTGATAGGAGAAAGGAAGAGGAGAAGGATAGTGGGTAGATCAAGGTAATTGGAGATGTCGATTGACATTACATTTGAATAGTTGGAGATTATAGCTTTCAGGGAAACAGTAATTGGGGAGGGAGTTCCACTGGCGAGAGGTGCGAGGTATGAAGCTATTGGAGTAGAAGAGACGGCTACATTTGAAGGTTTCTACGGTGTAAGGGTGGGAGCGGGATACCAGCCTCGTAGGGCGCTTGAATTCATGGAGTCTGGGAACCAGAGAGAGCAGCTCATCAGAGCAGTTACCATTGAAGTATTTGTAGAAAAGACAGAGAGAGGCGACGGCACGTCTGTGAGAGAGTGGCTGCAGACAAGACACTAGATCAGGGCCAATTAGATTACATATCCGACTCTGGATCTTGTCAAGAACTCCGAGGTAAGCAGAAGGTGCTCCAGCCCATATATGGCAGCAATACTCCATGCAAGGGCGAATGGTTGTTTTGTATATTTGAAGTATCGATTCAGGGGAGAAAAATTTCCTGGCACGGCAGAGAGAGCCAACTTTCCTCGCGGTGGAAGAAGCAATTGACTCAATGTATTTGTTCCATCTCAGGTCAGCAGTCAGCGTGAGACTGAGCAGACGCAGGGAGTTGCTCTCAGGAAGTTGACTATCAGACATTTTAATGGGGGGCAGGGAAGGATCTCTATGGTGGTTAATTGAGAGTAATTTAGTTTTTGTGGTGTTAAAGTTGACCAGCCAATTCTTGCCCCAGTTAACAACCGATTGGAGGTCCATTTCAAGACGCACGGCAAGGTTAGTTTTGTCGCCGATACTAGATTTGTTTTTGAGGCGGGATTAAATTGTAGTGTCATCTGCATAGATGCCAACTTGGGAATCTATAGCTTCAGGAAGGTCATTGATAAAAATAAGGAAAAGAGTGGGGCCAAGGATGGAGCCTTGGGGCACACCTGTGTTCGTGGGATAGGAACTGGAGGAGAATCTGTTGAGAACGACCTTCAATTCTCGGTTAGACAGGAATGATTGTATTAGACAGTTGACCAGTAACACCATACCCCTGGAGCTTACGAAGAAGGCCGGCGTGCGTACAAACCCTATCGAATGCTTTGGAGATGTCGAGGGCCACAGCACGAGCCTCACCGTTATTTTGAAGGACTTGGTAGACGGTTTCAGTGATGGCCGTAAGCACATCAATCGGGCGTAGCGGAAACCATATTGCTTGTCTGAGAGCAGATTATGGGATGTGGTGATTAACCACTTGGCATTGATTAGGGCTTCAAGACTTTGCCAAGAGGGTAGGAGACTAATAGGACGGTAATTAGTGGGGTCAGAGGGGTCTCCAGAGTTCTTAAACACAGAAACAATGGATGAGGACTTCCAGCAGTCAGGAAAACAGGATTCCTTGAGACAGTAATTATACAGTTTAGAGAGGGCGGGTGCTAGCTCAGGCGCGCATTTCTTCAGGACAATGGCTGGTATGCCATCTCCACCACTAGCCTTGTGGGGGTCTAAGGTGGAGATAACCCCGTCATTGGTACTGGGCATTATGTGTAAACTGCTCAGTAAGGCCTCAGTTCTAAGAGGGAAGTCTGGTATGGGTACACCGGTGGAGTCGAGCGTTGAATTAATAAGTGTGTGGAGTTATTTTCTGGGGTGGTCAAGCTTCATGTTTGTCTTACACGTGACAGTATGGTCAAGCTTTGTCTTACACATAACATTACTTATGACTAATTTGAATCACTTTACATATCACATACATGCACAGGATCTGTTCAATCAACAACTGTTTTCAGGCATTCACATTTCGTTTATAGGGGGAATTGCAGACAAAGAACAAATTACATTGGTTTTCAACCTAATTTAAAATTCAGTTGTTCTAATCATTGTCATTGATTGACATTTCCTTCAATTCTTAATTTATAAAATTCACTAAATTTCCTTATTTGGGCATAAATTCTCCTTTCTAGACACCCACACCAGGTTTATTTCACCCAAATTTTTATTGTCCATTTTTATTGCTTGTTCATCTTATGGTTCTTATCGAGGCTGGATTTCAATTGTATTTTTTGATCTAGTTATTACTTTAAAATAAAGTTTGGCCAAATCTTAATCTCTGGCTATCCTAAAGAAATATTGGTATAGTGTTTCATTAAGACAGATTTAGAATACATTCAATTGGCAATTATGCTTTCCTAAACATGACTGAAGAAAATCCAAAACTGAAAGCATGAAAAATGACACCTGTTCAATACTGCCCATACAACAATCAAACCTATTTATATTGCTCAAGCTATCATCCTCATCTTTGTTGCCATATTTATCACATTTCAGCCGTTGTATGCTCCGGCCTTCTTCAGCTGGTTGGAATGTCGAACTCAATCCTTTATTTTGCTTGCTAGGGTAGACTGTTCTAGTTCCACATGCCATGTCTAACGGATGTCAGTTATCAGATATCTCCTGTTAATTCCCCTCGCCAAGTTCTCCACCACCTTAACCAGGTGTTGAACTCACACTCTTTGGGTCCTGTCACTGGATCTAACTAACGCCTTTATCCACTGTGCTATGTGTTCTTGAGGACACATGGCACAGATAACCCAGCGAGTGAAATAAAGGGTTCAGTTCGACATTCCAACCACCTGAAGAAGGCTGGAGCGTACAATGGCCAAATCGTTGTGATAAATATGACAACAAAGATGGTAAATAGTATACATAATACCTCATCTCAGAAATATAAACAGATACTGAACAATCAGATTCAACATCTGTTCATCTTTTAAGAACAGAACATTGCCAAAAGTGGAAAGGATTGTCATTAACAATGAAAAGGGAATCCTTTATAATTAAGTTCAGCAAAAGAAACTGGATATAACCAAAAACAGGATTGCACCCTGAGAAGGTAATGCTTTGTTTGGTGAGGTATAAAGGGTATCTATCATGTAATGTTGAATTGTAATGAAATGGCCAATTCAAAGAGACTGTGTGGCCAACTGGAAGAGCTGAACCAATCTGTACTGAAAAAGCAACCTACACCGATCCAACAAAAAGGAGTCTTACTCTTCACACATTGCATAATACATACATGAAAATCTCTTGGATTTGAAGCTGGATGCTTTACATCATTCATCCTACTTTTCAAACCATGTTTTGTTAGATTATCACCTTTTCAGATCTTTAGATTTCCTGTACAGGGAATGATATACTAATTATGAAGTAGAAGTGGTGGTATTATTAAAAATTAATAATAATAATAATAATAATAATAATAATAATAATAGGGAGCTAGGAAGGAGGTGAGAATGATTGAGAGAATTTCATACAAAAGGCATTAATAATGCCTACTTGAATTTATAATTGATCATTAAATATAAGTCAATTAAATGTCTCCAAACAAAGTGGCACAACTTTTTTTCCAAACTAATAAGATAAAAATTACCAAGTGTAGTGAGTAATGTGCAATGATAATTAGCTTTAATATAGACAGTAAACATTTAAATGAAAGTTTGGCAAGTTTGATGAAAGTGAATTTATACATTTTTGCTCTAACTTGCAAGAAAAATATTAAATACTATTTATTAGATTGTTTATTTACAAGAATAATTTTATATTTACAACATTCTAAAAACTAAGACAATTAGAATTAGAACTAATGCAACGTATTTATCATTTACCAATTTATAAAGAAAGAAATGTGAAAACTATTTTTTACTCATAAATTTATAAAACATTTACTAAATCATTAAAACGTGAACTATAAGGAAATCCTTATTTCCCATTTTATAGTTTGAGACAATTGGCAATTAACTGATGTTTTGCCAATCATTCCAATAAATAATAGTGTAAATAAACAATCTAATAGTGTTTATTATTTTTAGGTAAATTCTCAAGAACAAAGAAAATGTTTAAATTCACTTTGTGTTTTATTACAATTCTAATCATTGCTTTTTAAAACAATAAGCATTGCCAAAGAGTGGAGGTAGTTAAAAAAGCAGTGTCATGGGAAAAACTGACACCCCATCTTATTGTGGGCACATCTGTCCATGTTTGCCAAAAGTTTCTTATTGTTTAGTCTAACTACAAAAAGATACTTCTCAGTACAAATGCAACAAAGTGAGGAAATGACTTTGCTGAAAAGGAAGTTTTATATTTTTAAAAGGTGCTTTGCATGAACTTAAGTTAATATTAATCTTTTTCCAACTTGAAAACTTAATACTCCCAAATTGTTATGAAAGTATTTTTGCAGATTTGAAATCACCCAGAAAATAACTAATCTGTCTTATTAAAAGGCAAGTATGGACATAGAAAATGGTTCCAAGTGTTTACCACTATGTTATAAGATGCAATATACTGTATTAAAAACATTCTTAATGAATACAGATTAATGAATATTTGCCAAAAGGAATTATTTTGTTATTTGAGACTGCTGTCAGACAGTTCTTTTTTGTTTTGCTTTTTTAATTCTGTAAAAAGTCAGCTTTCATGAGATTACAATTGTTTACAATATTTCTGCACAGATAAAGAAAAAAAATAAAGTAATTCTAATTATAGCTTGATGATCTACAATTAAAAAAAAAAAAAAAAAAAAAAAAATTAAAAAAAAAAAAAAAAAAAAAAAAAATGTAAAATAATGAAAGCATGTGGCAGTTGCAGAGAATTATTTGTCAATATGTTTCCTTAAACATATTGGAGAAAGCAAGGACAACAACAACAACAACTACTACAGAGACCACCTGTATATACTTATGCTTTAACAACTGTTCTGCAATAAAACTGTCACAAGAAATTTTTCATTTAGAAAACTTGGCTGAATAAGCTTATAAAATTCCTTAAGCATGAGTAAAATATAGTTGTCAACAATGACATTTATATTCAATTTTAGTGTTATGGCTGTGCATAGTTTTGTTCTCTCCACAATCTAGTTTACTTTCTGGTCTTCCATGTAATATCAACTTAGATTTTGTGATTTAAAGATATATATATATATATATATATATATATATATATATATATATATATATATATATATATATATGAGAGAGAGAGAGAGAATAAGTGAAAATAGGAACATTAATTTTTTTTTTTTTAAATTCAGTTTCAGGAGGTAATATTTTTGCCTTATAAATTCAGTAAGCATGCATAGATTATTTGTTTTTTATGTTTGCGCTCTTGCAAGGTGGATTATATCAATAAGTGAATTCAATAAACATATTCAGTTTTAAGCACAGAGAAAAAGTTTAAATTTATATTTTACATTACACTACTACAATATTCATATTCGTACATTTCTCTTTATTTCTAAGTTTCTATAAAATCTAAAATGGCAATGAGTTAAGGCCAGAAAATGTAAATTCAAATTCAGGCTGAGGAGAAAAAATGGATTTGAGTTTACACACAAAATGTTTTATAGCATCTATTTTCTTTAACCATAAATAAATCATTCAAATATTCTTTGTACAATGCAATTCATTATGTGCAGTTATAAACTTACCACTTTAAAGGGAGCTGTTTGTAGCAAGGTAGATTCTGTAACTGCATGACCATCATAATCAGTTACATAAATACCTCTCCGAGAAAGCGTTTGGATTAAAGTAGAAAAATCTGAAAGAGAGTAAAAGAAAATGGTAGCATTTGCATACTATTATCTTGAAATGCATACAACAATTGAGAAACTACTATTAAATATGATCCCTGCTTATAATCAGCACTAAAACAGAGCAACACTACAAATTGTGTATATATAATTAGTAGCAATGTGACTAATGAGTTTATTGTGTCAAACTTTGTATGCCTTTAATTAGAGTATGTTTGCTCCTGCTGCTAACAACCAACAAGAATTCACTGTATATGTACTGAAGCACAAACAGAAAAGAAATTGCAACTTAAATGTGTTTCAGTTTACTCAAGATTAAACAGAAGTAATATTACAGTAAATGATCACATATAAAGATCAATACAAACACATATTCCAAAGTAAAACATTTATCAGCAGTATTCATACAAATTGCATATTAATGAACTGTTTTTCCTCTTTAGGCATTAAACAAGCCTCTGCACTCTTGCATGAAAATAATCATACCAATGCTAAATACCATCTAATGATACCACACCCCTTGCACCTATCGAAGCAATACAGCAAGAGTTGTAAATGAGCTAATCAAACAAGTCAGACATTGTGTCCAACTGGGTACAAGTGTGGTGGTCATGCCAGCCAGGAAATTTTTTCAAATATCTTGCAGAGCATATCAAGCTATGCAGGCAATGTATATGCAGACACTATCTTGCTGGAATAGCATATTGGCTGTGATTGCAAGAATGGCAGTAAAACAGACTGAACAATGTTCTGGACCAAAATGCCACTGCTCTAGGTTCCCTCCATAAACACCAAAGGCAAACCAAAAGTTGTAACTTGTGGCACTCCACACAATGATACCAGGAGTTTGGCCAGCATGTCATAGGCAATTACACTCTAGACAATGCCACAACCCCCAAATCAACACTATGCACTCAAATGACATTTGTATGAAGGCAGAACCTTCTCTCATCATTGAAATCTAGAATGCCATTGAATCTCCCAGATAAACTACAATACCACTAGAAACATATATAATAGTGTTGTCATGTAAATAGAAGTTTGGCTTAAGGCACACATATCCACAGGTCCTGCTGCAAGTAAATGATTCCCAATGGTCCATGTTAACACTCCTGGAGCTATAGCTACTTTAATCTGGGCTGTAGACATCAGGCAATCACCATAAAGAGTTTATCAGAATATCTACTGTTACCTAGTAGGCAAATATTGAGCCCAGGTAAAATTCAGCATTATCCTTCAGAGTTTTGCAATCTTATTTTTTGTTGGGCTATATGTACATTTACTGATACAAGCTAACCATTTTTTTTTTTTAAATTGGTTTTGCCCCAAGCAAGGCAGTAAAACCACTAAGACACAAGGCATTACTGGGTGTGGAAGAATAAGGAACAGAAACATTACTAATGAATAGGAAAGAAGAGTAATCATGAAGACAGTAGATAGCAATTGACATTGCATTTAAATTTTTGGAGATTAAAGTTGGCTGGAAAGCATGAAGCCGGAAAGGATTTCCGCAAGTGAGAAAAGAAACTATTAGCATAGAATTTATGGCTACATCTAGTCAGTTTAACTGTATATTGATGAGATCTTGACACCAATCTAGCACTGTGCTTGAATTCAAAAAGTTTAGATACCATAGCAAGGAGCTTGTCCAAACAATTACCATGAAAGTATTTACAGAGAAGACACAGAGAGTCAATCTTATGGCAGTGGGAAAGTGACTGAAGCCAAGCTGCCAGATCAGAACCAATAATATTGCTTATTCTTCTTTGAATTTTATCAAGGAGCTTAAGATGTATTAGGAGCACTGGACCATATGTGGCAGTAATACTCCAAGCATGAAGAATTGGTAGACTTATAAATATGTATGATAGACTCTGGAGAGAAAATAGTCTTACATAAGACAATGAAACAACTTTCTTAGCTAACCTAGCAATGGATTCAATATAGTCTTTCCACTTCATGTCAACTGAGAACATTAGCCTGAGAAGGTGCAATGAGTCACTTTCATGGAAGTTATGAAATAAGAGGTTGGAGGTGGGGGGGGGGAGAAACAGTGTTAGAAATTACATTAAAAATTTACTTTGTGTGAAATATCATACTGACAAGTTTTTATCTAATTGATTTGATACTTTCTCCAAAAGTTTAGTGGAACAAATTAAGGGAGCAACCAAGAAAGAGAATCAACATTAATGTATTCATCATATCCCTAAATTTTGCTGAGTGGATTCAATGAACAAAATGGAGATTTATATTTCTCAGTAGTTAGTACTAAAGAAAGGTATATATTAACATTAAAATTGAAAGCCATTAAAAATGTGTTGACAAAAGGACTCAGTTTTAGAAATTACAGGAAAAATAAAGATATAGATATCTATGAATTTATATAAAAACAAATTTATACCAATTTCAAAGTTTTTACAGTACTAAAAATAATAAGCACAAAACAAGGGATAATTAACATAAAGCAACTTACTATGTAAGGAACCCACTTCTGGAAAAAGATTACTATAAGCAAGGAAGTAAATCTCTCCTGAAGCCAACTTAAGTACAAGCTGGGGCTTGAGCAGGCAAACTCCCTGGGAAGAAAAAAAAAAAAAAAAAAAAAAAAAAAAAAAAAAAGTCAAAGTGCACACTTGAGAAATGTTTCTCCAAAATTCCAAAATACCCTGTAAAGTTAGATTTTGACTATATACAGCTATTTTAAATTTAATTTATGAGAGGTTTAAATGCATTTTGTAAAATAAAATTTTTATAAGATTTATAATACAGCAAACTTAGAAAATATATTAGAAAATATGTGTATCACTAAAACATGTACAAGAATCTGTAATCACAGGACCTTTTCATTTGAGAAAAGCTTGGCATCTGTTAAAACACATTATCAAAAATTGGCACTATCCTGAACACTTCTAAACATCTAGCTATGACAATCAGATTTTGAAGAGAGCACATGTAGGTACATTACAAAAATAAATCAACATCTATTTTCAATGATCTAAGCAATTCAAAAATATTTAACATGCAAATTAACACTTAATGCATTTGCTATGAGCAAATGTTAAGGTTTTATTCTTTTAAACATTGAATTTCTCAGACACATTTTCTTTCTTCTTCTAACCAATGTACATTGAAAACATTAAATTTTCTAGGTGTTTTCATTATTCCACAAATCGAAATGACCTAGAAATGTTCACAGTAGGAACTATATTAGGACACCAATAGGATGTCCTAATATTTTCAAATTTTTTTGTTTGTATAGAAGAGCTACATCCTCCATGGAAAGGTATAATTTTCATTCAAATAACTCAGTGAATATACAGTTTCTTCTGCAGAATTGATATATAACTTTCTGAATATTGTAAATACACTCCAGAAGCATAATGACTGTGCCTCATCTATTTTCCTGCACCATAATCAAAAGCTGCAGACTGTTCACACAAAATCTTTTATCTCCCATACTAAGAGCATGTGTAAACTGAAAAAGGTCTGTTTATGTTAAGTTTATGTTTTCCCAACTGAATATTGACAGATTTAAATGATTTTCTTTTGGTTGCTCTGCTATAAGTAATATTTCAAAGATTTTTTTGCAATTTCCTCTTTGTCATGGCCTAGATTAATGTAAACGAGATGCACAGGTGTCCACAATCTTTCATTAATGAATTACATAAACATGCAGTTTTTAATTAAGTGTAATTTTCAATTTTTTTTTTTTTTTTTTTATTTCGCTCAGTTCACTTTCAAATTGACCAACAATACATCTTCACTCTTCAAAAGCTGATAATTATCCACTCCTGGAGTATTACAAATTGATTGTGCAGTTATTCTTAAGGCTTTATAGTAAACTGAATATTAATCAACAAGGATGTCTTTATTAAAATGTCAAATTCAAGTACAAAATCAATATCTATTTTTTTCTGGTCCTGTAGGCCCTGAAGAGAACTTCTGTACATCAGTCAGATTTGTAATTTTTTTTTTTAATTTGAAGACACTTCAATTTCCTCACTTTTTATTAGATTCATAAATCAAATCATAATTTGACATTAAAAGTAACAGACATAAGTATGCTCTGTACAAACCTTGCTTCAATTTTTAAATATGATACTTTAAACTACTGTAAAATCTTCAAGCAGAAATATAACTAAATTGTAAATAAATCATCAGCAACTGACATTTTTTTAGCATTTTTATTAAAAAGAATAGGTATCAGATAATATATGTTTTATTTTTAAGACATTCTTTTCTCATTATTAAAATCAAATCTGATTTGCTCAGTATGAACACTTAAGCCATAAAATCTAAATATTAAATATATTTTTTGATACCCCAGGTGGTCTCAGAGACATTTCTGAAACTACAGAAATATTTTAAGTCAGTCTATATACTTTCAAATTGACTGAGAAGGGAGAAATTATAATCATTATTTTTAAAAACAAATAAAAAAAATAAAAATATTTGCTTCTATTAAAAAAAAAAAAAAAAAAAAAAAAAAAAAAAATTGAAAACTGATGCTAAAATTATTGTTTGTGTATATATAGGGAGCATATATTTCTAACAAGATTTCTTGAATATTCAGGCTGGTAGATGTAAATAAATAGACTATTTAATAAATGACCCCCCAATAAACAAAAAAAAAAAAAAAAAAAAAAAAAAAACAGAGCATCTACTCATATATGAGCATCCATTTAAAATAACCTTTAAACAAATAAATTAAAAAATATATATATATATATATATATATATATATATATATATGTGCAGTCAAAAACTGACTTACATCACTATTCTCATAAAATGGGTCTTGAAACTCTCTTGGAATTTGATCCTCATAAGACCTGTGGAGTAACCAGAGCAGAGAGAGGCGCAGTTTAGCCTGAAAGAAAAAAGTAAATAAATAAATAAAAAAATAATGTATTGTATAAATGAGTATTAAAATATTAAAAAAAATTTTTTTTTAAAATTACATTCATATTTGTCCTGATTTTGGTAAAGAAAGAGTTTAATTACATGTGTAAAATAGAAAAAAAAAAAAATACTTAAAATAATTTCAATGGAACAAGGAAAAAAGTAATCATTTAAAAAAAGTAAAAATATCTTTAATTGCTTATTAATAAAGATAAAAATTTCTGATAATCTGGACTATTTAAGCAATCACTAATTTTCACTTTTTTAAAAGACCTAAATAAGGAATGAATAACAAAAAGAAATATTACTTTGGTCCTTATGTTACAGCTAAAATACTGAATACATTTCATACAACAGTAACTTGATAAAGTTCATAATTCAGAAAATTTAGTGTAGATGCAGAAAACTATTTTCAGGGGCACTAAAATATTTGAGCACCATCAAAATAATTTTAAGCTGAATTTAAACTTGATATATTATTCATGAAATATCTTGATATATTATTCATTAAACTTGATTATTATTCATGAATTTTAGATAAGAAACAATAGATTGACTGAATAAACAGAAAACATCCATAAAAGTGTATGGAACAACATTTAGCATTGTATACCAAATAGGATAGAAAGAATGAATCTTAAGGACTAACCTTGAATATAAAGACAGCTAGTGTATTTTGTTGTAAAATAAATATATAAAAAAAAAGTATAGAGGAATATCTGGAACAGACTAGCAAGATATAAAAGCTACACTGAATTACTAGCAATTAATCATATAATCAAAGTCAATACATATAATTAGAAACATAACAGAAAGAAATAAAAGCTAAATGAGATTACTCACTTGCTATCTAGCAATCAATGTCTAATATTTACAATACTGATAAAGACAAGATTTTTTTGTTAGTCTAAATTTACTAACTGAAATATGCCAGCAGATAACAGGGATAAAACAGCAATGCACTAAATTTTATATCTAGACAAGAATAAAAGAAAGGTCTAATGCTATTTAGCAAATAAGGAGTGTTGATCGGTTTGAGTAGAATAACAACTGAACACTTACAAAGAAAACAAACTGCATATATTTTGCAAGAATTCAAAAAGAAAACAGACTATTTGAAACTTACTGATTTATTTTTTCTTAAACACAAAAAAGGCTATATAATGAAAATGTCATTCATTATTTCTTAACTACATTTAGGAAAATATATATACACACACACTGGCATAGGTCTGAATGGCCACAAATGTCAGTTTTCTTCACACTATGTATGCATTTTTCAGCCAGTTAGCACTAGACATTCTGTGATCAGGGCTTTTTTTCCAAACTCAGTTAACCTGAGGTAATATAACAAGGGGTAGATGGTTAATATATAATATACTCAGCTAAAAATCACTGAGGAGGTAATGCCCATACAGTCAAGAATGGAGAATTGTAAAATCACTGCTATTTCAGTAGGAAAAACAAAAAAAAAAAAACAAAAAAAAAACAAAAAAAAACACCAGGATACATTTATGAGTGTGTCAGAAAAGTGCTCAATCGCAGAATAACAAGAGCACCTTGGCAAAGGAGCTTATAATGTGAACACCAAAAGGTACTCAATAATGCCAGGCCTCAAAAGTCTCTGTATCAGAGAATATATATGAAATACAACAAATTAATGAAAATTCAACTTCATTATATAGACAATAGTTTCCTCTATAAAAAATATCAAGAGTATTTGTCATTCAAATTATATTAAAAGTAATCAAAAAGAGTAATACAATGAAAATTTGATATACAGGATGATTGTAAAGTAGCTCCCTCTTTTATGCATGGTGGACTCTCTCATCTTGTAAAAATTATAGTTAGATGGAAGAGTCCATCATGCATAAAATAGGAAGTTACTTTTCAATCACCTTGTGTATAACAAGCAACTAAATATTTTTAATCTATAAATCAGATACTCTCAAAAAATTGCAATTATTACAATACATTTGATAATGTACAGGCTAATAGTTAAAACAAAAACTGCAATTTCTAAAATGTTAGTCATAATTAAATATTAAGATGAAGTAACTATTAGAAAACTAAAATGAAATTGCTGTAATTTGCTTTGGACTATATAAAAAGTTTAATTATAGCCACTACACAGATAAACTATCACACATTCTCTACTTGAATCTCAAATTATATATAGCCATATCTACATTATCAAAATTTATTTTGCAATAATAAAATCCAATCATGTTATCCCTAAAATAACAAGGGCAAAGAGTATTTAGCACAAGATAACTTCAAATAAAATCCATCTGATCTAGAGTCAAATTCTGTCTGTCTGAAAGTTCTGAAATGATAATCATCAAAAAGTTATTCTAATAAACTCATCCTTGATGGTTTCATTATTATTTTGATGTATTCTTCTAAATTCCTCAGTTGCTTCCTACTAAAAGGTAGTTATAGATGTTAGTTACAGAGATCCTTGCAGGCAGCATCAATGAGGTAAGGGTTTGAATGAAAAGTATGAATAAAAATGCTACTTGACAGAATTTCAAACCCTGTCCAGAAAAATAGGAACTGTACAAGATGGATTATACTCTGACAGAATGCTCATAGGTATGAGTGATAAAACCAACAATGAGAATATTAATCTATTAGTTAATTTAACAGACAGATCATATGTACTTAGAACTTTTACCAACTTCAATTTAAATAAGAGTCTGTCATGTTCACAGAATAATATTCTAATATGGATTATATAAAAAGTAATATTAATTGAAGAAATAAAGTGAAATGTATAATTAATTTTCTTGAATTCATTTTCAGTAGATATCACAAATAAGTAAAGTAAATCTACTGCAGGAGAAACAAAGTCAATGTAGAAAACATCCCAAATTCAAAATTTCCTGATAGCGAGTTATTTGCACAAAGCTAGCACCAAAATGTTAAGAAAAAAATAATATGGTGATTTTGTTAGTCATAAATATCAATTTTATTTCCTTTGTTTAAGTAGGAAAAGAAAAGACTACCATGAGACAACTTATTTGAAAAGAGAACTGCTAGACAAAATAAATCTAGAGTAATTAGCAAATAAAAAAAAAAAAATGTCTATCAAGTAAAATGTTTTTAGATTTAGTAAAATATGAAATATTGATAAAGATAGAAATCAACTTAGGATGCCTTGGCCATTCAAAATTCATGAGAGTCATTTGTGTACATTTCAACTTAAAATTAAAAGTCTGAAGACATGAGGTTTTTAATCTCACCAAATACTACTTTATACTAGTACAATTGCCCATAAAATGATTTGAAACCTAAATTAAGTAAGGATAAAAATAAAAATCTCTATTGAATAATCAGCAACACAGATTAAGTATATTTTCTTCATAAATCATTTCTAACTATGGGAACACTGTCATTAAATCCAGCCTTTTACTTATACCAAGTAAATTCACAGCCTGCATAAAATGTGTGTGTGTGTAGATGCATGTATTTTATTTTAGTATATGTATTTTTCTTGAATATTTTAATCTTATATCTTAATTTAAGACATTATAATATATAAACATTTCAGAAAATAAGATTTGCATAATTCTTTCCCAGCAAAAGTGTATAATGGAAAAAAATATAAGCATAATTTGTTTGTGTACATGTTTATCATATAGTAAATTCCTTATTTTATATTATTTTATACAAATTACTAAACTAATCATCAATTTTTATTATAATTATTCAATCTAAAATTAGTTATTGTAGATCAGGTTTAACTTGGTGAAAATGACCTGTTAAAATGATCACTGATTAACTATGAAATTTGAAAATTAAAGAAAAAAAAAAAAAATTATGTATAAGCTCACTATTGCTGACAATGTTAATTTGTTACTTGGAAAAAATGGTATTAAAAAAGATTTATTGTTCAACAAAAGCATTGAGATACAAAGTAGAAAGCAGAAAATATGATGGGTCACACTGTTGCTTAGGAGGGGCAAAAAAGTAAAAATACATAAGATTATCTATAGAGATTAGTTTTAATTTTAAACAGAACAAAAATAAATAAATAAAAGAAACGTCACTGAGGAAGAGGAGGAGTATGTGAATTGTTTACAAACCACATTTTCAAATGAAAATCTATAAACTTTCCTAAATTCAACATATGAACAAATTCAACACATACAATCCTGCCAAATTTGTAACAACTTAAGGAATGTCTGTAAATGTTGATTTTTCTAAGAATTTATTAAAACAATTGTATTCCCATTCTATTCCTTAATCTTATTATAATTCAATAAATGTCTTTTGTCTGTGTCTGTTACTGCATATATCAAGGGAAACTAGAGCTCCATATACCAAGTTTTCCGTGGTTATTAATGGAACCCTGGAGCATATTTTTGTCTTTAAAAAGAATTTTTTAGCAAGTTGTTTGATTTACTATGTAAATTTAATGCTAAAGTGAATTCACTTTATACCTTTCAAGTTCTTTTATGTACCATGCCCCCTCAGGATATTGACAATCACGGCTCTCCACATCATCTTATCCTTTGCAGCTCTAAGCAGTGTCTTTTCTCTTACTATCCCTCCCAGTCCCTGTTCTGCCATCCATTTGCACAAGTTCATTAGATAGTTTACTCACCAATTTCCTGCTGCTCCTCTTGTTTTCATTAAGTCTTGAGAGTGTCAAATTCTCTAAGCCCTTTTGTGTCTAAGAAATTTGAATTGTCTCTTTCTGATTCTAAGTACAAATGTCCTTTTAGATTTCTACATGTGCCATCCATGGTATTCTCAGCATTCTTCAGTAGAAACACACCTTTGTTGCCTCAAGTTTACTCTTTATCTCTAGGAAAATTGTCCAGCATTCACTGCCATATAATACAAGGCTTATTACATGGCAGCTGAGTACTTTATTATTTTGGTTCCTAAAAAGTTCTGTTTATTTATATTTTATTTAGCTTTCGGAAAGCATCTTTCACTATTCTAATGTGCCCTCAGTTT